TCCATTGTAATTTTTGTTGATTTATTTTTCTTCTTGTCAGCATGGATATTGTGGTATGTATCAAGAAAATAATGAGTTAACTCCCTTTGGTATGCCATTTGTATCACTGATCATCATATAAAAACAGAATCCAGTGAGCATTAAAAAAAATCCACAGAAATCATTGTTCTTGAAACAGAATGTTATGATATGTCATAAAGATAATACAGAGCAAAGATGTATAAATTAGTGCTCCTATAAGATAGGTTGGTGATGGAGCATGCAATTTATTGTGATCAGTAACATTTATTCAAGATGCATGGTGTCCTAAATAGCATGACATATATAGAATCACATGGGATCTGTTTGGTAATATTTTTTAAAGTAATTATACATACGTCTTCGGGGATGATCCACATATTATTATATTTAAGGTTCCGTATATTTGAAGAAATGTTTGCCTGTTTAAAGGGACTCCATTGAGGTTTTTTGACATGATGGGACTGAAAATATTTTTTTCAAATAAATGTACCATTTCATGTAGGTATAGAACACTGATCTTTGTGTAAAATTTCAGATCATTTGCGCACTTCCTTTTTCCAGAATAATCATTCAAATTGTAAAAAATGACCCAAAATGAAAAGCGTTTAAACACTTTTCACTCAGATCGGGCTAAGAAAAGCATAAAAATACCATTTTCAATTTATTTCAAAGTATATTTTTTAACTATCTTTGCATATATTTCTGTTTAAAGTGCCCCAGCTCATTTTATGTAAGAAATTCAAATGTTATGTTTTTAGGCTTTTAAACCTCAGTGGAGTCCCTTTAATATGCAAAGAAAACAGTTGATATGACTGGTATGACTTTAAAGGACGTTTATTTATATGGTTTAAAAAGGCTGCTAAAGAGATTAAATGGCATACTTGAGCAAAACATAACAGTATTTTAATGTTGTTGTGTGTGAATGGTGTGATTTAAAAACATGGTTTGTTCTATAACATTGTCTGAGATTGTAATATAATCATTGCACTTTTGTTGATTTGCTAATTGTAAATATTCTAGTGTCCAGGTTTACTTGTTATCTGCTAATTGTAAATAATTAGAATGACAGGTGATTGTGAATGTTGTGCTTTTTGAGTCAAAGCATTTGTGTTCAATGTTACGGCATACTGGGACTTTAATTTTCATTTATACGTAAGGTTGTTACTGTTAGAGGCACAAGGATTAACATTTACACTTAAACATGTGATGGAATTGATTTAAAACTGAAATAACAGATTGCTATTGAAGACCTGGTGAGAAGGGTAGAAGGGTTTTTATATTTTGATGCACACAAAATGGAAAACTGATTTTTTGGTTTATGTCAGAGATATAACCATATACTGCATGAATGCATCCATTATTAATATGCATGCATAGTATTATTATATTAATGTCTTTGATGATTTGTTCTCACTATTGAAGTGTTTAATTCTTTACTCAGGGCAAACCTGCTTTGTTATATTAAACTGATTGTTGATAATATATCAGAAAACACCATTCATGACAAATATCATGCTTTGAAACAATAATGCATTCCGATTTTCCTCTTTGCTTAGTACAGGCTTGTGTCATCATGCAACATTTGTGTATGGTTAGGTCACCACCAACTGTATTTGCCAGTTTTTCATTATTGGTTTATCTTTAAATATTTGGGGAAAAAAAAACAAACACCAAGTTCCAGGTAGATATTTGCCGATTCCAATGTCATATAATTGTCCATTGAAGTTCTTTTACTTTTCACATTCATAATACTTGCAGAAATTTTTCTATGCAGCAATATTTTGATGAAATATTGCAGTGTTCAATCTAGAATGGATTCCCAGGGGGTCATTTGATAAAAAAGGGGACTGACACTTAAAATGAGCATAAAATTCAAATAAGGTATTATACCTTTTAACTTCCTTTTTCCCACAACTGATATACATACTGTTTATCCATAAAGATCAACTCGACTAAAAATATTGATATTATCTGGGCCTTTTTTGAGAGATTTGTTAGCGGTGATGTACTCCTGGAATCAGCAAATATTACCTGGAACATGATGTATGTTAACTATTCAAATATTGAAAGATATAATAAAAATTATTAAAACCATTGACACTGACCAAATGTTACCTTAAACAAATGTCACAAGGACACCCACCCTGTTTATAGTTAATGCTTAATGGAGATAAAACATTATTCATTACACACATACATATGTACTGTATATGCAAATTATTAATTCATTGCACATAATTAACCAAAGTGGCTAATGCCAATGGGTATTAAATAAAGTAAACATATCTTGTTGCATTATCCCAATTGGAATTAAATATAGTAAACATATTATATTGTTGCATTATGCCAATGGGAATTGACTTCAGTAAACAGTCATCTTGTTGCATGATGATGATGATGGAAATCACAATAGTAAACATATCTTGTTGCATGATCCCAATGAGAAACACATCTTGTTGCATTATGCCAATGGGAATAGACTTTAGTAAACATATCATATTGCATGATGCCAATGGAAATTGGCTTAAGTAAACATATATTGTTGCATGAAGCCAATGGGTATTTATTATAGTACATATAATATTGCATGATGCCAATGGGGATTGGCTAAAATAAAGATATCTTGTTGCATGATGCCAATGGGAATTTATTTTAGTAAACATAATCATGTTGCATGAAGCTAATGGGTATTGACTATAGTACATATCATGTTGAATGATACCAATGGGAATTGGCTTAAGTAAAAATATCTTGTTGCATTATGCCAATGGGAATAGACTTTAGTAAACATATCATGTTGCATGATGCCAGTTGGAATTGGCTTAAGTAAACATATATTGTTGCATGGAGCCAACGGGTATTTATTATAGAACATACAATATTGTTTGATGCTAATGGGGATTGGCTAAAATAAAGATATCTTGTTGCATGATGCCAGTGAGAATTGACTATAGTAAACATATCATGTTGCATGATGCTGAAGGGAATCATTGTAGTAAACAATTCTTGTTGCATGATGCCAATGGGAATCAACTTTAGTAAACATATCATGTTGCATGATGCTTATTGGCATTGACTACAGTTAACAAAAAAATTAATGTTGCATATAACCATCATGTTGCATGATTCTAATGGGAATTGACAATAGATAATATATCTTGTTGCATACAGTAAGCAAATCTAGTTGCATGATGCTAAAGCTTAATGTGTTGTTGCATTTTCTGCATGATGTAAAATGGTGGTGGTATTCATGAATACATTTATATTTTGTATCTGGATACTGGACGTATATCACTGCATAATTATATATTTTTTATTGCAGGACATAACAACTGGTCCTAAGCATTGTCACATTAGGACCTTCAATTTTTTCACTTTATCTTGAGTAGCTTTTAATGATATCAATAATTGCTTTAGCTTGAACTGCCATATGCCTGGCCATGATATTAAACCTGCCTTTTTAGTTAATCACTGCCTAACTTTATCTTTACTTACTGATGGACCAGATGGCTTCATTGCTTTGCTCAAAATATTTAACTTGAGATGCCTTATACTAACTACATCTCTGTTTTTTTGTTATGACTGCCTAGCTTTATGTTGAGTTTAACTTCTGGACAAAACAACTGTTCTCTGGTTGCTTTGTCCTTGATTTTATCATGCATTGCCTTTATTTTGTAATCACATTTGGCCTGTGTTGCAACTTTTGCTTAATATTTCATCACTACATGACCTAACATTATAAACCTTCACAGCTTTGTCTGATCTTATGATCTCTGCCCACTCTTCTTATAATCTAGTCATTTATCTTAGTCTTACCTAATGGTGGAACATTTTTGGACACAATACTGCAATACTTTATCATTTCCTTGGCTTTACATTTACCTGTAAGTGCTGGATGCTAATGACATATCATTATACCATTACCTGATATATTGTCTCCGATTATACTTTGTATCACTGATTGACCAAATGAGAGTCTTGCATGATCTTTTACATCTGCAAGCCTTCTATTTTATCATCTTGGTGCCCAAATTTTATTGTCTTTCTTGACTGATTTATCATCTGCTAGAGTCATGTTTGTTTAATATACATTTTATTACTGGCTGGACCTAAATCAAATTTGTGGCCTATGTGATGTTTTTTTGGTCAAAATGAAGACTTTTTTCACTGTATTGTTGTGTATCAATAAAGGTCATGATAATGCACTGATACAAAAGCTCAAAGAACTATGTTCTTACTTGCATCTTCATTTCCTCTCTATTTATCAGATTTACAAATCCAAATCCAATTTATTGTGTACTACATGTATACATGCTGTTTGATCACATTGTGATATTCTAACAAGTACAGGCAGTGGTACCAATATTGAAAATTAATATTGGATACTGATTGGACTTGATAATAAAGCTAGAATTTATTTGAATATGAAAAATGACTTCTATAAATGTGTTTTAAATGATCATCATTTAAAATGTTTATTAAGGATCTCAACTGACCTTGACACTAAATTACTCAAGTTGTTTTATAATATATTCAGTCAATGATATTGTAGTTTATATATTCAGAATGAGTCCTAGGTTACAATGTAAACTGTAAAACAGTGCATAATTTGTAAATATAAAATTCTATTTGATGCCAAAGGGTAGGATATTATTGATACACTATAAATATGTGCTTGTTTTACAAAATCAGATTTAAAATCTTTGCTTTCATTCATTACTTACTCATGTATACGATGTTAGTCACTTTTATTTTGCACACCTATTTAATTCACCTTGAGTGTATTTAGTTTGATTTTACTTTATGATTATTTTGCTTCCATTGCCATACATAAACTTGCTACAATCATGTATTTCGTTTGGCTTTTATTTATAGCAAAGCCCTTTAACTTTGAATTATTTAAAAAAGAAACCTATGTAGGTTTTGAGAGTGATAAATCGTATATATTTTAATTGTTGTTTTATAACTAAACTCTTCAGGAGGCAGAGGTAGGAAAGTACGCTCTGATTGGTGCAGCGTCTCAGCTGGGCGGAGTTTTACGTACAACGATCAGTTTAACTGTGATAATCGTAGAATGCACAGGAGAAATTTCGTTTGGCCTGCCTATCATGATAGTTCTCATGATCTCAAAGTGGGTTGGCGACTTTATATCTACGGTAAGACCTGAGATCATCTACAGTTACAGCTTAAATTTATTGTCTGTCATTCATAAGTATATATTTGCTACTGCAGTATTTGAGATTGAGTTATAGACGCAGTTAATTCCAATTTAATATTCTCCCTTCCCTAAATAAGTTGTTGTACACAAGGAGGTTTTTTATTGTACACAAAGAGGTTTTATCTGTAACAGGTAAGAAACAAAAGAGATTTCTTAGTACTTTTAACTTGTGTGGTAAAGGTAGAAAAAATTTAATGATTCAAATGAAAAAAGTTTAAGGCACTTACAGAAAACATTTGTATATGGTTACAACAGTGATTTGACAATTTGTACTAATTGTAAAATAAAATGTAGAAGTAATCATTTGTATAATTATTACAATTCATTTGCCTTTTAGCTGAATTACAGGAAATAAACAATTATGCAGCATATTTCAGGAAAAAATATAAAAAGTTAAATTAATATTCAAGCTACATCCTACAATTGTAAAATTTTAAATATTTATATCAAGTTCCAGAAAATTTTTTCGGCTATAATTTTCATACATAGTTTTACTTTAATAATATATTGTATATGAATGTTTTTTGTTTTTTCAGGGCTTGTATGATATGAATATAGAGGTTATAGGTTTACCTTTACTTCCATGGGAACCTCCAGCTCTCTGTGATACTATAAAAGCCAGGTAAGATTGTCTATGTTACAAAAATATATGCATTGTAAAAAAAACTTTCGAAAAGGAAAATCTTCAGTTCAATAATTCCTAAATTTAAACTGTTATATGACACTCTGTCCATAATTTTCTATTCATCCCCAGCTGAAAATAAATTGTTTGAATTTTGAAGACTTTATTAAGAACTGGAACAAACACAAAAAAACAACCTATAATTTTAACAGCAATAATAGCATAGATTTTCTATAATGTTTTCAGTATAGGACAAATTCTCTATATAAGTATTTTTATTATTCTGTTTCAGTGACTTGATGAATGCACCAGCACTGTGTATGAATAAAATAGAGAAAGTAGGTCGTATTGTGGAAATTCTCAGGAATGAAACATTTTGTGGATTCCCAGTGGTCAACGCTAAAGGCAGGGTAAGTACAAATACTGAAAACAGATGATATACTTATATTTTAGGCAGAGTTTGCCCCTTGTGGCAGAGGGGATGCATTTATGGGTTGATGCATTAGAACTGCAGACACCATTTAAGCCTGTGTGATTGTAAGAGGCGGCTAAATGGGTTTGAATTATTGGGGTCTATGCATCTCATAGCTCCAGCAGATAAAGTAGTTTTGACCCCTGTTTTTGCTTTAAGTTTGTAACACTTGAGGTTAGCCAAAATCATCTTTTCTGTTTTTGTGCCATATGACCTATACTGTGTTGGTGCTCTGTTAACTAAAGCAAACAAACAATTTACTTATTTTATCACAAATGATTCCCGAAACACTAGACAAATTATATGTTATTAAACTTTACACATAGAAACAAACATTCTGTTATTCAAAATATTGTGTTTTTAAGCCCATGAATTATAGAATTGTATGCCAGTTAGTTCTTCCGTAACTGTTTAAGTTTCATTTATATACTGATGTCTAAAATGTTTGTTTCACTTACAAATGCCTGAGGGTAATCACACAAACACCATGTTATCTTGAAGCATCCAGTCTCTTAAGTAATTTATTTGCTAAGATTTCAATGGTTAAGAAAGAAAAAGCCAAAATATGTTGTTTTATTTTGTTGTGAATTAGTCATATACAGATATATTATTGGTTAAATGATTTAACTGTTTTATGTATTGCAGGATCACAGTAAGCCTTCCAAAGTGCGTGGCCTCATTTTGAGATCTCAACTTCTTGTTTTACTAAAGCATAAGGTATGTACAACTTATTTCATTGAGTTAGCAACTTTCATAAACAAAACAAAAATTGTTATCATTGATTTCAAATAGAAACAAATTGTTAGTGGTAAGGGGCTTCTGTGGCCAAGTGGTTAAGGTTGTTGACTTCATATTAGTTGCCCTTAAATTAGTTGCCCTTAATGGCTAGGTTCAAATCCTGCAAAGGACTTTGGATTCTTTCATGTGAAGAAGCTATCCAGCTACCTTATAGAATGTGGGCGGTTCTAATCAGGTGCATGGAGGGGTGGTTCTAATCAGGTGCATGGACCCCCCCCCCCCCCAAAAAAAAAAAAAAAAAAAAAAAAAAAACAAACAAACAAAACAAAAAAAAAACAAATGAAATTAAACAGGGTGAGCTTTTGTGATTGATTTTCGTCCAGCGTCCGTCCGTAGACTTTTACTTTAAATGACATCTCCTCATAAACCACTAAGCCAATTTCATCCAAACTTCACAGGAATGTTCCTTTGGTGGTCACCTTTAAATATTGTTCAAAGAATTTAATTCCATGCAGAACTCTGGTTGCCATGGCAACCAAAAGAAAAAGCTTTAAATATCTTCTTTTAAAAAACCCAAAGAGCTAGAGCTTAGATATTTAGCATAAAACATCTTCTAGTGAGTGTCTACCAAGTTTGTTCAAATAAAAGCCCTGGGGTCAAAATTGGCCCCGCCCCAGGGGGTCATTGATTTTTCCTATATGCATATAGTAAAAACTTTAAAAAATCTTCTTTTAAAGAACTCAAAAGAGCTAGAGCTAAGATATTTAGCTTGAAACATGTTCTAATGGGTGTCTACCAAGTTTGCTCAAATAAAAGCCCTTGGGTCAAAATTGGCCCCGCCCCGGGGGTCATTGATTTTCCTTAGATGTGTAAAGTAAAAACTTTAAAAACCTTCTTTGAAAAAACCCAAATAGCTAGAGTTAGATATTAAGCATGAAACATCTTCTAGTGAGTGTCTACAAAGTTTGTTCATATAAAAGCCCTGGGGTCAAAATTGGCCCCGCCCCGGGGGTCATTGATTTTTCTTATATGTGTATAGCAAAAACTTAAAAATCTTCTAGCTAGAGTTTAGATATTAAGCATGAATTATCTTCTTGTAAATGTGTACAAAGTTTGTTCAAATAAAAACCCTGGGGTCAAAAGTGGCCCCGCCCCAGGGGTGTCATTGTTTTTAACTATATGTGTATAGTAAAAACTTAAAAATCTCCTTTTAAAAAACCCAATGAGCTAGAGCTTAGATGTTAAGCATGAAACATCTTATGGGTGTCTACCAAGTTTGTTCAAATAAAAGCCCTTGGGTTAAAATTGGCCCTGCCAAGGGGGGGGGGATGGAGGTCATTGTTTTTCATTATATGTGTGTAGTAAAAACTTAACATCATGAAACATCTTCTAATGGGTGTCTTCCAAGTTTGTTCAAATAAAAGCCATGGGGTTTAAACTGGCCCCGCTCCGGGGGCCTATATACAGGTGAGCGACCTCAGGGCCATCATGGCCCTCTTGTTCTATATTCTAAAGAATAGTTTGAGGTATAGTTATAACATGGCATAGGATATTTAATGAAAAACACTATTTCTGGACTATTGCTACTTGACTGCAAGCTGTAGGTTGTATTCTATAGAGTGCTCTTAACTCTTAAATGGTCATTTTTCTGCAGTAAGATATTATTTATGTCTTGAGGTTACATGATTGTCTATCTTTTGGATTTAATTTTCTAACTTTAATAATATCTGCCTTTCAGTATGTTGTTTTATCTTAAATCATTTTGTTTTAACTGCCAATATATTGAATAGTATACTAATTTTGCTGTTCTCTATACTAATTGACAATAGGTCATTTTGTGTGATAAAGGTTTGTTTGAATTGCAGATTTTCAGCCCAGAAAATATGATGCAGCCAAATACAGTGAGATTGAAAGATTTCCAAAACTATTACCTGCATCATTTGAAAATACAGGTTTGTTGTTTTGTTTAAAATTTCAATCACTGTAAAAATGAAGTCATCAGAATATGTTAGTTACTAGTATGATTAGCTGTTAAGTCACTTATAGGCTATTTTATATGTAGGTTATACTTCACTTAGTCAATTCACCTATAAGTCAAGTATAAGTATTTTAAATGCAAATTAGATGTAAGTGCAGTATATGTCTGGCATTTTGACATGTAAGTGAAGTATAAGTTATATATAAGTCACATATATGTGACATGTAAGCCAAAGATATGCTCAACTTATAAGTAACATATAAGTGACTTATATGTTACATATAAGTGACTTATATGTTACATATAAGTGACTTATATGTTACATATAAGTGACTTAATATAAGTCACTTATAAGTAACATATAAGTCACATGTAAGTCGCATATATGTTGCTTGATGTCAAAAAAGCTTGAAATAAAATAAAAGTTTAGTAATTTAATTTCAAAAATGTTTATTAATTTATATTCATAGTCATATAAATGAGCAAAATACAAAATTCAACATACATATCCTTCAGTTCAATCATCTTACATTCACTATAACAAAAACAATATTCATTTGTAGCAGCAAGTTTTTGTTTTTTACTGGTTTTCTTTATTTATATAATTATTTTGCTGGAAGTCTGTCGGTGAGGAACTGTTCAGATCAATTTTTTTTTATTTTAAACTACTAATTCTTTTATTGATGTCTGTTTCAGTGCTCTGTTTCTGTTTCCTCAGAGAACTTCATGTGGCTGTGTTCATCTTTAAAGATAAAATTCATAATTAATTAAAAAAGATATGGAATAAATTCCGACCATTGTATATGCAGTTATATTTCATATTTTGTATATCATCAAACTATATTAGGTATTTATGCTTATGAATATACAAATATACTAAGTTACACAGTATCTCATTTTAGTGCACAAGTCAACAGTGTTGTATAAGAATTGCTAAAATCTATAAGAATTGATTAACTGCACTATTTGCAACAACATTTATTATGCTCTTTTCTGGGAAAGATTTAGAGATTAAAAAAATATACCTTTTCAGGCTCAATACTGCATATCATTATTCACCTGGCATCTCAAAGTAAGAACTGGTCCCACTAGCCTGCAATGTATGTAAAATGTAATATCAGATTTCTCCATTGAAAACAACAATAAAATAATAAATGATCAGGGCTCTCAGTAGGGTCAGAATTTCACGAGTCAAAGACTCTTTGGCCAAAATTTTCATGAGTCAAATAATTTTTTTCTAGTGTCATTTGACTACATGAATCATTTTTATGTTACAAAAATTTCTGTTTTGGAGGTCATTTTGTGTAGATTCTCAAGTCTAAATTGATAATATTTAACATGGAAAAATGCCTTGTTATAATGTATATATACCCCCCCCCCCCCCCCAAAAAAAGAAGAAAAAAAAGACAACAAAAAACAAACAAATAAAAAAAAATGAATAGCATCTTTACTGTGAAAGAATAAATTAAGCAGCAGCTTTTCTGATTAAAAGTTTAAAATATAAAGAAATATCTTTACTGGTATGCTATATACATGTATCATATTATTTTTAAATACCAAAATGCACTAGGAATATTTAATGGAAAATAACAAATTTACAGGCACTCCAAGTAAATCAAAGACGTATTATAAACCTTTAAAAGCAATCAATAATTGACACCTCAAGTATGTAATTCTTGACAGAGCTATTTTTAGCGCTGTCAAATTGCATCCAATGATGTCAGGCTATAAACAATGCTGTGTATTACACACAATGACATTTTTAGTGTGATTTGAACATGTGTAGGATTTGATAGGTAATTAGGTGTGGATTTAAGGTAATTATTATTGCATAGCTGAGAATCCCACGTGGCAAATTGACTCTTGAGCAGATGTTATCAGGTGTCAAATTTGTGCATTTCCTGATTTTGACGAGTCAAAACCAGGATCCCCGTGTCAATCGAGAGCCCTGAATGATTATGATGACCCTGTCTTATTCAGCTGCATAAAACTACTGATTGTACTATTTAGTTCTAAAAATTCAATTAATTTAACTATTTAATCTAGATTTAAATCAATTACAAGTATTAGTAAATCTAATGTATGAAGACAGCCTTGATCTCTCAAGTTACAAATTTTAGTTTGCTGCCATCTTACTTTGATTGTTTAATATATAACCTGTATCAATTCTGCATAAATGTAACTCAAAGGTATTTACCTGATTTTGTTGTATATCTTCTTGTCCAAGGTGATTCTTCTTGTCATTCTTATTTACCATAACTATACTTAAACATCTTAAACAAAACAATATCTCTAAAATTCCTAATACATTAAGTAGATTCTCTGCGATTTCCACCAGCTTGCTAACCTAAATGTTTCAGACTTACAACTGTGTACCTGGGCAGATCCAATGTTATGTAAAACAGGGTAAATCGAAAAAAACAAAGCACTCATCAGTTTTATCTTACAATCATTGAATGTGAAAAAAAATCAAATAACTAATAGATATGTAAAGTTTAAAAATCATTATACATTTTTGAAAAAGAAAATGCAATGTCCTTTTTTACAAATTCAGGATAGGAAATGTTATCTTTCCCCAAAATAATCACATGGAACAGTCTGATTTGTAGGAATGACCAGTCAAAAAATTAGTCATGCACATATGGTGGCAAAGGCAGGTGGCCAGTTTTATCAGACCTCTGATCTATGTGGTGTATCCGTGGATGTAGAAAATATAAGCAATCTTCAGGCATATTGGTTCCTTGATTTTGTATAGATTAAAAGGGCAATATAAACTGTTTATTTCAAGCACTGTTTTTTTTATTGTTTAAATATCTGAAATACACTAGGCCTAAATGTCTTAAAAATAACACTTGTATATTAAAAAAAATAGACCTCTTTTTCTTGTTAGAATATCTTACTTCAGCGAAATTAGGTCTGACTAAGAAGTAGAGTAGGTAAAAACATATAGATTTCAATGTCTGTTTCAAGTTAGAAAAAAAACAAGAGTAGAATTATGCATTGGGTGACTTTTATATGAAATATTTTCCTTGTGAGAAGAAATGACATGGAATTTCATTTCTGTCCATGGTAGCCTAGAAATCACTGATTGAATGCCATTTCTGTCCCAATTCCGCACAGAATATGTACCAAAATTTTTTACAGGTAATATACTTAATTGATAATCATTTTTCCTATTATCTTATTTAAGACCCCCAGCTGTGTTCAAAAATTAATAAGCAACATTTAAAAAAACAAATCTTAATTGTTTGTGATTAAGGTCTAAGATTATAGTATTTTAAATTCTGAGTATTTTGATACCCATTGTGTTAAAGCAAAGAATTACAAATCAACTTCAATAAATTTTATCAATTTTTCTCATGTTTTTGTACTTAGTAATTTTTTCAGCTTTGCTCAGTCTCGCAAAAGTTCTAAGTTTTCACTTATATCTAACATAGAAACTGGTTACTTCAAACTTCACCAGTATAAGGCACTTATAGGTGACTTGTATGTGACTTATATGTTGGGGAAAAAATGGCCAAAAGTGACTTATATGTAGCATATACCTATAACTGACTTAGACAGGTTTTTAGGTGATTTATAAGTGACTTATATGTAACTTATAGTTCTCTTATAGGTCAAGTATAGGTTGCATATAAGAAACATATAAGTCACTTGAAGTCATTTTGGTAAGGGTAAGTATTTTATAAGGTAAAAAAATTAATATGAGCATACCTTTATAACTAGCAGGAATGAATGTAGTGGCAAGAATGACTTGCTGTTACTGTCGGTATATAGTCAGGTAAGCCTATAAAACAGAGGCTTCAGTATAAGTCATACATGCCATAATGTCCTGGACTGTCCCGGAAGTCAGGTCACTGTCCCGGAGGCGTCCCAGAGATGATTTATGTCCCGCTAGAAATAAAAAATCTGAAATAATCTACTATGCAGTGGGAAATAATACATATTTATTGTTAAGTTACAAAGTAAGTATAAGTTTCAATACTTTTATACTTAATTGACTAATTTATCAATAAACGTCTATTGGAAAATTCAAAGTAAGGCTAAGTTGCTAATTAAGCTAGGTAATAAATAAGGTGTACGGGTATGTTAAAAGTCTGATATTTGTATGATTACAGGATGTTCCTATATCAGACGAGGAGATGGATTATATGATGGATTTAAGACCTTATATTACACCCAATCCATACACTATAGGACCTGTAAGTAAAATCATTTCCTAGCATAGTTGTGTAAAAACTTGTTACAGTTTTGTTTCTCTGTATAGCTGATAATAATAGATAGTTTTAATTTTTTCTCAGTTCATGTTTACATGATTGTCATTATCTATGCTTGATGTATTCGTTTTATGTAGATTGTAATGAAAACTGTCAGTTGATTTTAACCACTTATTTTTTATCTTTTTTAGGGGTAATGTCTTCAAGATGGTAATGCTCATAATAGTTTACAAGTTCAGGTTTTATAAGTGTGTTGTTTTGAATGCCTATAACACCAACTATAATTGACGTGTATTTTTATTTTTTCAGACATTTTCGCTACCAAGATTATTCCGTTTATTTCGAGGTCTGGGTCTTAGGCATTTGATAGTGGTTAATGATTGCAATGAGGTAAGCTTTTTTGTCTCTGCATACTTATTCTATTTTTCTTGTGCAAATTTAAGTTCTCCATGAAGGGCGTCCGTGGCCGAGTGGTTAAGGTTATAACTTTAAACCACTTGCCCCTCACCACTGTGGGTTCAAATCCCTACAGGGACTTTGGATTCTTTCATGTGAGGAAGCTATCCAGCTAGCTTATGGAACATTGGTGGTACTACAAAGGTGCCTGTTCGTGCCTGAATTATTGCACAGAAAAGTGCCTTCTTTCTCCACCAGTAAAGCTGGAACGTTGCCATATGACCTATACTGTGTTGATGTGAAGTAAAACCCAATCAAACAAACAAACAGTTTTCCATGAAGAGGAGTGCTAGTAATATGATTGACCATTTTTTGATTCAAAATGATTATACATACATTCCTTTTATGCATTGATGATAAATATTTTACCCTATAAATGCTTGAGGGAAATGGCTGTTTAAAGTTAAATATAGTTGACTTGGTCTGTAATTATGCCCCGCTTCAAAGAAGAGGGGATATATTGCTTTGCATTTGACTGTCGATCGGTCTGTTTGTAGACCAAATGGTTAAATAACTAAAGAACGCTTAGGCCTAGGAATTTTAAACTTGGTATGATGATTGTTCATGACCAGGAGATGGCCACTATAGATTTTGGGTCAAGGGGTCAAAGGTAAAGGTCACATTGACCTTGTAAGTAAAATTGGTTTCCAATCAATAACTAAAGATTGATTAGGCCTAGGAACTTCAAACTTGGTATGACGATTGTTTATGACCAGTGGATGACCCCTATTGATTTTGGGGTCAAGGGGTCAAACGTCAAGGTCACATTGACCTTGTAGGTAAAAACTGTTTCTGATTAATAACTTGACAACCACTGGACTGTTGGCCCTAAAACTTAGTAGGTGCATAGGACTTGGCCCGTAGATGACCTCTTTTGATTTTGGGGTCAAAGGTCAAGGTCATATTGACCTTGTAGTTAAAAATGGTTTCCGATCAGTAACTTGTCCTTTGCCTTTGGCCCTCAAACTTCGTAGGTGCATTGGTGTTGGCAAGTAGATGACCCCTTTTGATTTTGGGGTCAATGTGTCAAAGATCAAGGTCACATTGACCTTGTATGTCAAAACGATTTCCTATCAATAACTTGACAATCCATGGACCCTTAACCTTCAAACTTTACAGATGCATTGTTTTTGGTCAGATGATGACCTCTATCGATTTTTGGGGTCAAGGGATTAGAGGTCAAGATCACATTGACCTAATAGGTAAAAACTCTTTCTGATCAATATCCCAACAACACAGGGGCCCTTTACCTTTAAACTTCACAGGTGCATTGGTCTTGGCCAGTACATAACCCCTATTGTTTTAAGGGTCAAAGGTCAATGTCATATTGACCTTGTATATAAAGATGGTTTCTAACCAATAACTCAACAACTCAAGTTGCCTTGGTTGATATTTTTTATTAAACTTAAACTGCTTTTGGTATACACATTTCAAGGTCTTATTTAACATAACAAATTGGCTGTCATTAATGAGGCATACATGATTAATAAAATTTATGCATATATTATTTGGTATGGTTTGTGATAACTTTATCATAAAATTGCTGCACACAACCTTTACGGTCACAATTACCTAGTTGGTAACTAGGTCAAAAGTCAGTCATAATAACCTGATCACATGACTAATTTGCTGTTGATATAGGGCATGCATGTTTTACAAACATATCTTTTTGTTTTAATGCCTGTTAAATACCTTATTTCTCTCACTTTATTGATTGTGTTTTCAAGCATTTTCAAACTTTGTGTGACTATTTATTTCAGCCAGTTGGGATTATTACAAGGAAAGATCTTGCAAAATACAGAGTGGAATCAAAACGTGGGCTGGTGAAAGTAGAACAGTTAAATATTGAAGACAAATAAACACTGAATATTGAGAAGAAATCCTTCACTACATTATGATGCACCTTAGCTTATACTTTAACTGTATTCAGGGAATATAGAAATCAACCTTAGGTTATCCCTGCAACACAAAATCATGACCATTGTAAAATATGCAAACCTCTATTTGATACAAATTATGCACTATTTTAATGATAGTTATTAAAGACTTCATAAATGGATGCTTACACCTCAGTAGCTAGGTATAGGGTATAGTAGTTTTAACAGTTATTAAGGAAGCTTCTCTAATGCTGTAGTTTCAGTAATGCTCAATAAGTGTACTAATTGCTGTGGTATCAGGTATTTGGAATATTGCATTTATCGATTTATAATATTCTCTTTTATATATGATTGTTTTTAGTTTTATCTGATATAACAAAGATTTAAACTTATCATGATTAAACTTGTTGTTTAGCATGGTTACATGATGTTCTTTTGTCACAAGTATATTGTGAATGTCATGAATTGATCTAGTATTATTCTTTTTAAAATATTTTCTTTTGTACATTTAAAATTGCTGAAAGTTTAATAACAATGACATGTTATGAATCTCTCAAACATTTGTTCACTGGATTGAAATTTCCTAGAATCAGTTAGTGTTGAAAATTGTAAATAATTTCTTATCAACCACCAAGCTCTTTTAGCATTATTTCATGTTATGAGCATAGTTTACAGATTCATTGTTAGTGAATTGAAATTATTTTAAAAAACTGGTTTGATATTTTTTTATAATAGGATTTTGTTAAAGTTTTAATGAAAAGATATGTCTGTTATTCACCTATTCATTTCTTTGTTGAAATAACTTTAATATTAAACATAAAAATACATGTACACCTGAGCTTATCTTATAAATATATAATTATATGTACTTGTATATATTACATAACCAGGAAAATTAAAACAGTATGAAGTAATATGTGTTAAAGATAAGTTAAAATATGTGTTATCTTATATTTCAGTGCATTTGTTTTCTTTTCATTTGGATAGATATGTTAAGAAATCAGAAATTGTGAATTTGAATGCACGTATGTATTTATCTTTATTTATTGTTCATGTTTGAAACCATGCTTTTATTTTAAAGTGTTTACAAAAAGATACAATAATGATTTACATTAAAGGGTATTATATTGATTACCATGTTTTTTACCAGTTAGATGTTACTATAAGAGAACAGTTTTTTTGATATGGAGGGTACATAAAGTATTTACATATTTTTTTTTTCAAGTTTTTCAATATTTAATCACGAAAATGCCAAAACATTGTATAACTGCTTTTAACTTCTTAAACGTTATTTCTGGGTAGCAGTGTCATAGTGGTTATGTTTGCCTTTCAGCTAAAGGATCTCTGGTTCTAGCACTACTTGGGTCATTCCACTATGTGTCCTTTCGTAATACCAGTACAGATTAGTTTGATGCCTGCAAAAATGATAAATTTAATTGTAAAAACTTGTTTTCACAGTCAAGCTTGAATAATTATTGTCAAGTTTATGATTTTCACTTAATTTGTACATTTTCATTATAGAAATTTAGTAAAATCTCTCACAGCTTTAGGAGTAGATGCTCCATAGGAAGATAGATATACAACAGATAAAGCAGCATGCCTCCAGATTCATGCTTATTTTCATTTTTTTTTTAAATGTATTAAAAAGAAAAATATTGTCAAGTGAACAAAGAAAGTAATTTATATATTGCAGATGGCGTTTAAAACCTATGAAATTGACCAAAAAAAAACAGGTCAGAATGTGCAAACAAGCCTTTACTGTGTTAGTAATGTAGTAAAAATATAGTAATACCGAAAAAATCAGTCATTAATTTCTTATAATATGTGAATTGATTAATTCTTGACAAATGAATATTTTTACTTTTGTTAAAATGTTAGTACATTTTATCAAGTTTGATTTTCTTGAAATATTTTATCTCATCTGGAGGCATGCAACTTCAAGATGTATATTTGGATAATTTAGATAGATTGGTTTATACATGTTTTTTAATTGTAAGAAACAAACAGTGCTGAGTTTAAACTGATAGAATATGATTTAAGGGATTTGTTTTATAAGATTTATTAGTTAACTGTTTGGTATATTCTACCAAGTTTGTTGATAACTTGTGTTGTCATTTAATTTTACATTTAATCATGTATTAAGATGAAGATATCAAGTTATATAAGAGTATGTTAATAAATGGTTGGATAATAGTAAGTCAGTAAAACGTATACCAGCTCTTACATTACTTATAGGAAGATAATCTCTGGTTATCTAGATGGCACATTGTTTACAAACTAATATTAAATATTTATATCAAAATTTTGTGTGGATCATAATTCCTTAAGAATCTCATTTTATACTTTATGTTTTTGAATATTTTGTTAGAAGGAGGTTTTTTTTTTTTTTTTTTTGGTAGCTTTTTTTTACGTTGAACACTTATTTGGTTGTGGATTTAGAATTGTAAGTAACATGTAAACTTTGTCACCATGCTGCCAGTCATTACAATAGAGGCAGTAATTATCCACTTTGTTTAGTGTAAGTGACTGATATGTTAGAAAAGATTTTAGCTCAGTAAATCATGAGATTTGTATAAACAGATTTTGTAATTTTATGAAATATGTGATTTGTTGAGGATAATGTGATTTATAGAGGATATTGAATGAGTGGAGATTTAATACCAAATTTATTGAACAAGTTGAATAAACTCATATTATCTAAGCCCCAGGCAAGTATTATATAGTTTATTGAACAAATTGAATAAAATCATATTATCTAAGCCCCAGGCAAGTATTATATTGTTTTATTCAACGAGTTCAATAAACTTAATATTGTATTTACAGGATAATCATGTTTTTTTAACACATATTTAAAATAAGAACAGTTTATAGTTAAAAAGAGTCATTTTTCATTGACGTGCCTATAGTGTAACGCTAACCTTAGAGCTCTTTAAAGCTATGTTTATAACACAGACTTTAATTACAGAATTAAAGTCCGTGGTTGTATATTAAATGCAAATGACCTCATGTCAAAATGTTTTTACAATAGTGTAATACCTTATTTAATGGGTTAATTTCACTCCTGGTTTATGTGACAAAAACTATTAGATAAGAGGGTAATGATTTGTGTACCTTTTTCTTAAATCTATCAATTACATGTTAGTTGAATAAAAGAATCTCCTTTCAACAAATCTCCAGTATTGCAGACTATTTTACTTATGTGTGGCATTGAGCACATTTCTAAACTGTGTAGAGCTGTTGTACTGAATTACCAGTGTAGACATTTTGGCATGATACCCCTGTCAGTCATACTGGATTTATTTTTAGGTGAAACAAGAAAGAAATATATTTGCTTTATAATGGATTTTAGATGACATTGTTTTGTAAGTAAATTCATGGAAAAATATTAGTTTAGATGTTAAAGATGTAGATCAGCTGATCTACAAAATCAAGAAAGTTAATATCTCATAATTAATAATAGTGTTGCAGTAGTTAGTTAATATGGGTACTATTTGTATTAGGTATAAATATTGACATCTCATAAAATGTTTAAAAAAATAACCAGGTTTGCAAAAAAAATGGTTATTGATAAGACTTAAGATTATTTTGTGTAATGATAAAACTTTAGCCATATTCAGAAAAGATGTTTTTGCTGTAAATTCTCAGTTGGGGCAATAAAGCACAAAAGAGATAGGCTTATGCTTTCAGTGTAGAATCAGGCCAGTATACATATCTGTATAGTATACATTATATGTTTATATAGGTGTAATGTATGAAATCACACTTTATCTATAATATATCATTGAAATGTTCATGAATCACCTTATTTGACTTCACTGAATTATTATTATATAATTCGTATGTTATGTAGGTTATAGGATATATGACATTGTCAGGGTATTAGAAGTTTTTTTAGCTCGACTATTCGAAGAATATGAGAGCTATTGTAGTCGCCCCGGCGTCCGCGTCGGCGTCTGCGTTGGTTAAAGTTTTTTGTAAAGTCAAATATCTCAATTATTACTTGAGATATTCAATTGAAACTTACAATACTTATTTATAGTAACAAGGTACATCTGATTGACAAGTTGGATAACTCTGCCTACAATATTATCAGAATTATGCCCCTTTTTAACTTAGAAATTTTGGTTAAAGTTTTTTGTAAAGTCAAATATCTCAGTTATTGCTTGAGATATTCAATTGAAACTTACAATACTTATTTATAGTAACAAGGTACATCAGATTGACAAGTTGGATAACTCTGCCTACAATATTGACAGAACAATGCCCCTTTTTAACTTAGAAATTTTGGTTAAAGTTTTTTGTAAAGTCAAATATCTCCATTATTGCTTGAAATATTCAATTGAAACTTACAATACTTATTTATAGTAACAAGGTACATCAGATTGACAAGTTGGATAACTCTGCCTACAATATTGACAGAATTATGCCCCTTTGGAACTTGGAAATTTTGGTTAAAGTTTTTTTGTAAAGTCAAATATCTCAATTATTGCTTGAGATATTCAATTGAAATTTAAAATACTTTTTTATAGTAACAATGTACATCAGTGTAAAATTGCATAACTCTGACTGCAATATTTGCAGAATTATTTGCCCCTTTGAAACTTAGAAATTTTGGTTAAAGGTATTTACTTGAAACTTTACACATGCACTTAGGGTCATAATTTGAGGGTCATAATTGTATGTCACTGACCAAGTTCCATAACTCTATCTTGCATTAAGGCTGATTCATATCCCCTTTTCTACTTAGTCTCTTGGTTAATGTTTACATGCAAGTTTTACATATCTCAATAACTATTAAAGATATTTATTTAAAACTTCACATATGCATTTAGGGTCATAAGTGTAGGTCACTGACAAAGATCCATAATTCTATCTTGCATTTAGGCTGATTTTTCTCCCCCTTTTCAACTTAGAAATTCATGGTAAAGTTTTGCTTGTAAGCTGTTATCTCAATAACTACTGAAGGGTTTGTGCCTGTTTTGGGACAATTTTATGCATTCATAATAATAAAGCAGTGATTTACTTGATAAAACATCTTAATAACAAGCCTTTTTACCTTTTCTGTCAAATTTATGTATTCATAGGTAATTAGTATTATTATACTCAATAAAACACCCTTGTGACATTACCTTCCGAATAGTCAAGCCAATACTGTATAATTAGACTCTCTCTAAGGCCTATAACATGAATTTATAAAAAAAAAATTAGCCCTTTTGTGAACTTAAAAAATTTAAAATTATCAAGGCTCTTTTACTATCAAGCACTTAGAATAGTCGAGCGTGCTGTCCTACCGACAGCTCTTGTTTTAGAAAAAAAAATACCTGGAGAATTTTATTCTTGTTGATTTCCTTTGTTTAATCTTTAACTTGCTGAATTTGTAATGGATTTTATATTACCCTTCAGTCCATTGAAAATCTGAAGGGATTTCAATATGTAAATTGTTTATAAAAAATGAGCTACCAACAGGATCGAGTCTGGAAAGACTGCATGGATGTGCAGGCTGGCCTAGCTGGCTCTATACAGGTGTCAAAGACTAATCAATTTCAGCTTCAGGAGGTTAAGGGTTAAGAATTCCATCCTTGTTGTTTTCCTTTGTTTACACACTAATGCAAACATTCCTTTACAAAGTTTATCGTTATCTTTCCACATGATATAATGTTAATCATTTTTATCTTTATTTTTATGTTAATAAGAATGTTTGAATCTGGTTCTTTAGCAGATTATTGTGCACAGCACAATTTACACCAATACATTTATTTAACATAATGTTTATGTATATATTGATTTTCTTAATTCTTTACATTGTGATAACTATCTATATTGCCATAGTTACTTTACCAAAACTTTCCCAGAACGTAGTGCCAATAGTTTTTATGCCACCGCAGCATCTGCGATGCGGTGGCATAATGCTGCGGTGCGGTGGCATATAGCGATTCACCTGTGTGTGTGTGTGTGTGTGTGTTTGTGTGTGTGTTTGTGTGTGTGTTATATAGATTATATAGTGAACTTAAAAAATCTTCTTGTGAAAAACCACTAGTCCAATTTCAACCAAACTTGGCAGGATTGTTCCTTGGGTGAAGGGCTTCCAAAGTTGTTCAAAGAATTTCATTCCATGCAGAAATCTGGTTGCCATGGCAACTAAAAGGAATTATAAGAACAAATTTAAAAAATCTTCTTGTAAAGACCCAAAAGGCCTAGAGCTTAGATATTTTGCATAAGGCATTGTCTGGTAGACCTCTAACAAGATTGTTCAAATTATAGCCCTGGGGTCAAAATTGGCCCTGCCCCGGGGGTCATTGATTTTCACTATGTTCATATAGTAAAAACTTAAAAAACCTTCTTGTAAAAACCCAAAAGACCTAAGGCTTAGATATTTTGCATAAGGCATTGTCTGGTAGACCTCTACCAACATTGTTCAAATTATAGCCCTGGGGTCAAAATCGGCCCCGCCCGGGTCATTGTTATATAGATTATATAGTGAACGTAAAAAATCTTCTTGTGAAAAACCAATAGTCCAATTTCAAACAAACTTGGCAGGATTGATCCTTGGGTGAAGGGCTTCCAAAGTTGTTCAAAGAATTTCATTCCATGCAGAAATCTGGTTGCCATGGCAACCAAAAGGAATTATAAGAATAAATTTAAAAAATCTTCTTGTAAAGACCCAAAAGGCCTAGAGCTTAGATATTTTGCATAAGGCATTGTCTGGTAGACCTCTACCAAGATTGTTAAAAATATAGCCCTGGGTCAAAATCGGCCCTGCCCCGGGGTCATTGATTTTCACTATATGTACATATAGTAAAAAACTTAAAATACCTTATTGTAAAGACCCAAATAGCCTAGAGCTTAGATATTTTGCATAAGGCATTGCCTGGTAGACCTCTACCAAGATTGTTCAAATTATAGCCCTAGGGTCAAAATCGGCCCCGCCCGGGGACACTGATTTTCACTATATGTACATATAGTAAAAACTTTAGATACCTTCTTGTCAAGACCCAAAAGGCCTAGAGCTTAGATATTTTGCATAAGGCATTGTCTGGTAGACCTCTATCCAGATTGTTCAAATTATAGCCCTGGGGTTAAAATCGGCCCGCCTCGGAGGTCATTCGTTTTCCTTATATGTATATAGTAAAAACTTATAGTAAAAACTTAAAAAAATTCTTCTAGCAATTGACAAATGCTAGAGGTTAGATATTTTGCATGATACATTGTGTAGTGAACCTCTAGCAAAATTATAATTATAATTGTTAAAATTATAGCACTGGGGTCAAAATTGCCCCAGCCCCGGGGGTCATTGATTTTTAATATATACTTTTAGCAAAGAATAAAAAAATCTTATTGTCTGAAGGTACAAGGTACAAGGCTTCAAAAACTTAAAATACCTTCTTGTAAATGCCCAAAAGGCCTAGAGCTTAGGTATTAATGCGGTGGCATAGCATTTTTCTCAAATGCAATCTTGTTTTGTTTTTTTTTCTGTATTTTTAAATCCATTGTTTTTGTGTCGCCTCTACGGAGTAGTGGCGACATATAGGGATCACTTCTCCGTCGTCTGTCTGTCCGTCTGTCTGTCTGTCCGTCCGTCCGTCACAAAACTTGTCCGGACTACTCCTCATAAACTACTGGTGCAATTTCATCCAAACTTTACAGGAATGATCAGTACCAAGTTTAGTTGTGCATATTGTCAGGATTTTCCGGTTCAATGATTTTTGTCAGAGTTATGGCCCTTTAATAATTTTTATTTTTAAAGTTTGTCCGGACTACTTCTCTTATACCACTAATGCAATTTCAGTGAAACTTTACAGGATTGATCTGTAGCTCAAGTCCTTGCGCATATTGCACGGGTTTTCCGGTTGAATGATTTTTGGCCGAGTTATGGCCCTTTGATAAAAAGGTTTCTTTTTCTGTGTGTTGCCAGATACGCAAAAGCTTGTCCGGACTACTCCTCATAAACTACTGGTGCAATTTCATCCAAAATTTACAGGAATGATCAGTACAAAGTGGTTAGTCTAGTTGTGCACTGTCCGTCTGTCTGTCCGTCTGTCACAAAATTTGTCCCAACATGAAATTGGCCATCATGAGGCGACACATGTGATTACTGATCGCTCTTGTTTTTTGTTATAAATGTTATTTTTTCTGTCTGAATATGTGAAACGTTTATTTTTGGATTTTTGTGTGTGCTGTGATACAGTGCAACAGAGTTATTTTATTTTTATACCCCCGCACAACAAAGTTGTAAGGGGGGGTATACTGGAATCAGCTTGTCCGTCCGGCTGTCCGGCCGGCCGTCGGTTTTTTCTTGTCCGCCCAATAACTTAAGATTCCTTTGACCCTTAGTCTTCATATTTGGCATGGAGGTTAGTCATGATTAGTAGATGACCCCTATTGATTTTGAGGTCACTAGGTCAAAGGTCACAGGGCCTTGACTTCAAAAAGCTTGTCCACCTAATAACTTAAGATTCCTTTGACCTACAGTCGTCATATTTGGCATGGAGGTTAGTCATGATTAGTAGATGACCCCTATTGATTTTGAGGTCACCAGGTCAAAGGTCAAGGTCACAGGGGCCTTGACTTCAAAAAGCTTGTCCGCCCAATAATTTAAGATTCCTTTGACCCACAGTCTTCATATTTGGCATGGAGGTTAGTCATGATTAGTAGATGACCCCTATTGATTTTGAGGTCACCAGGTCAAAGGTCAAGGTCACAGGGGCCTTGACTTCAAAAAGCTTGTCCGCCCAATAATTTAAGATTCCTTTGACCCACAGTCTTCATATTTGGCATGGATGTTGATCATGACTATAAGATGACCCCTACTGATTTTGAGGTCACTGGGTCAAAGGTCAAGGTCACAGGGACCTTGACAAAAAAAAGCTTTTCTTCTCAATTGCTAAAGAATGTCCTGTCCGCAATGTATTGATTTTGACATTTTCACATTTGAAGCATGTAGAATACATAACTTAACAATGCACTGGCTTAGTAACCCCAGATTTGGCAGGGAGGTTGTCCTTGAGCTCTAAATGGCCACTGTGGATTCTGACAAAGTGGTATGCGGGGGTATTCACGCCATGATAGTGGCAGTTCTAGTTACTACAGAAATAAAGAAATCCACCTACATTTCCTTGTTAATCACCTGTATATAGCAGTTGAAATTTTTTTGCAGGGACCTTGACATTATAGTTACTATAGAAACTTAATAGACTGCCAATTTATGATTAATATGATTAACATATTTCTTATTTTGAGGCTCAGTGGCACATTAGTTATGGTCCCTGATTTGTGACTTCACACCACCCAAGATTAGGGCTTTATATCATTTCAATAACATTGGATTATTCCATGTTAAAAAGCTACATTGATTTAGTTTGTGGAAAGTCAGTATTTCAAGATGCCAAATTGTGCCAGAAATATTCTTTGTAAGGATCATCCTCGAGTTTCCATCACCCTAAAAGCTACAAAAGTTGTACTGCAGCATTAAGATTATTTGTGTGAAAGAAAATGATTATATATTGTTCATATAGCAATTTTTACAAATTAAAAAACATTGCTGGGGCAAACTGAAAATACTGTACGGAATCTTCTACAAAAACATGGATAAAAATATTTTTTGAACCTTTATGGGTGTCTAAATAAAATTACCTAAAAATAGTATGTCATCAAGTGGTGTCAAGGTCATTGCAAGCTATTTCAATCACTGGCTTTATCTTTGTTAATAATATTGATAGTTTAAATTTGTTATAAACCTGTATGCTGTTTACACAATCACAAAAAAACACACAAAAAAACATACACACTCAAGCAAAGTAACATTGATGTTATATTATACAAAGTGACCACCTACTTATATTGATTATTAATTTCTAAATATATTTGAACCAAACTATGCAATTTATTTTTGTAATGCAATAGTTATATAGCCTGCAATATATGTATATAAATTTTATTCTTTTTAAGCTTGCTTGCTTTTTATTAAGTCTTCTATAAGAGTTAAATATTTCTTATGTTAAGAAATATTCTATAATCAGAAACACTGTTCTTATTATATATTGTTATGTTTGAAAATCTCCAGATTTACCATATTAAGTAAATACTTTGTAAATATGAAATCATTGGTTTGTTGTTTATTTGAACTTCCTTTATAACTATTAGACTACAAGGTCTTGATCATTTTTCTGTATCATTTTGTGATAAATTTCAGGTCCAATAATTCTGTGTTGAGATATTAGGAAAGGATGAATATTCCAGCATATATTTTCACCTGATGCAATCAAGTAATTCTTCTAAAACTGCTTTGTGTGCATAATTTCTTCGTACTTTAATTTGTCGCCTTATAAATTAAAGGAATTATTATAAGTACATAACCTGGAATATGCTATTATTGAATAGTCCTCCATTTAGAGTGTTACACAATAAAAATCTGCAGAAGATTAATGAATTATCACTTTTCTTGGTATAAGGAATCCATGAATCCTCTTTCTTGTTTATTCATAACAATGACGCTGGGAAAAAAGAGGAATAAAACAATCTGTAAAATTTTGTAGCATGAATAATTTGGTGCACTACCAAACAAATACATAGATGATATTGAATGAGTGTAAGTTCAATACTGAATTTATTGCACGAGTTGAATAAAATTATATTATGCCAGCCTCTGAGCATAATATTATTATATTCAACGAGTTCAATAAATTCAGTAATGAACTTACACGAATTTAATAATGTATTTATCACACACCCAAAATTAAAGACCGTTTAAAGTGAGAAAAAAGAGGCATTTTTCACTGACGCGCATATAGTATAACGCTAACATTTAGCGCGTCGTATAACGCAAATGACGCGACGTCAAAATGTATGCACGGCCGTGCAATACCATTTTTTACGGAATCGCAAAATCGGCACGGGTGTGTGATAAATGAAGAAATGAACATTTTCTTATCCTCACCTTGTCAACAAATATTATCAATACCATCTTTGCATGGTCAGGTATGTTCAAATTTATGTGCGTTGGGAGCCGTCGGACATTTGCAAAATACTGGTTAAGTAACACTGATGACTGATTTTTTTTTTACTTTGTCTCAGCTGAAAATTTTGTTCAAATTATTCTGAAAAAGAGAAAATAATCTATATTAAATATATTAAATAAAGTAAAATTGGCCTGATTCTGTCGATTTCAAACCAGACAAAAGAAAAGATAATGCTAACATAACTACATTATATCGAGCGCAAATGAAGTAGCAAACGAGGAATACCAAAAAAAAAAATCTAATATAATTGCCGTAGATCAGCCTCACAACCCATCTTAGTAGTGGTCTATTCAAACAAGGTTTCACTCCATAGTCTGTCATGTATTATGCATTCATACTAATGTTTAATTCGTATATTAATTCCAATTGTCATTGGTTTAAAGCATAGTAAGCTTTCAATTTCAGAAACCCTAAATAAATGTAACTGAAAGGAAACAAGTCATGCAGGACAAACTGACTACAATATTCTTCTCAGGAAGCAAAAAAGTAACAAAAGTAACAAAACTTTAATGTTTCACATTCAGCAATACATGGATAATATCCTAGATATGTCCTAAAATACAATTAATTTTCAACTTTTGTGAAAAAAAAACAACAACAACAAAAAAAACGAAAAATAATTCCTCAGATATCTGTAATTTGATGGAAATTAAGTGTGGAAAGATAGTGTACCACACTGTAGCATTGTACAACCCTTGTATCCCTTATCATGAGTGAGTGAAAAAGAAATGTGGTTTGTGCCATATATGCCGTGTTTTGTCATTGGTTTAAAGCATTGTAAGCTTTCATCGCAGATCTTGCGTATGTTTCTGCACCGTAACCCATTTTGGGTCCAGTAACATTTCAAAAAGGAGGAAAAAAAACCCAACCCAAAATATGTCTGTAACACGCATTGTCCTCGAACATTAACCCTTGAAGAATCAACTGGGATAAAGTCATATTTAGTATGAAAAATTGAAGCTCTCGTCCCCGGGTATATTTGTTTAAGTGTGAAGGTTTCATCTAAAAATGTAATAATGTTTTCGTGGCTAAAATAAACTTTAACACTTCATTAGATTTTCCTCAATAAAACACTTTTGAAATGATGTAACTGTCAAATGTTGAGCATAATGTAATGTATCTTGTACAAATAATATACATAATTTACCTGTCATTACACAGTGCCATCATTACACTTACATGAATATGCAAATCGAGCATCTTTTAAGTCGGTGATTTCTATGCTAAATTCTAAACATGTCACACCTGTTCAAATTAAAGAAGACCGTTATTAGTGAACATGGAGATATATATGCCAGGCACAGAGTGAGATAACTATTTATTTTATTAATGACAACAATTTGTCTTGAGTGAAAATTAATGTATAAACAAACTTTATTAACTGTCAGTCTCGTATTACTTACAATACATTACAATATTGAAATCAAATAAGTTGTTCAAGGTTATATTACTAATTGAATGCCAGACAATTGAAAACATGTACGTTTTTCCAATCAATAGTACAATATGGTGGCTTTATTACATATAAACTATATATTATTTGAGCTTAAATTATTCTGAAGGAAATGTCTTTAGTATGGTTTATTGTTTTTTTTTTCAAACACGACATTCTACAATAAAAGTGTTTTAATGTATGTTGATATATAAGTGTAACAAGTATATGTAAATATGCAAGTTTAATAATCTTTTCTTCATTTCTTCTTTAGGATTAACATCGGACGTCTCTATCTTTATCTCTTGAATTAATTTAGCTGTTGTTGTTGTTTTTTGTTTTTTGTTGTTTTTTTTGATTGGCTGGCATAATGACTCCATTGAACATACAACAAGTCAGATTGCGGTACACATGAGCAAGGTAGGATATTGGAGCATGTCTCAGATTTCATTCTTATAAAGAAAGGAAAATAAATGGCCCAACAAACACAATACAAGTGTGACCTTTTTATGATTTTCGCGCGAAACGAATATACATGTAATCGATCCAACTAAAAACAAAATGATAACCCTACAATCTGCATAACTATAAATGTTACAGTCATAAGTAATTTCATGAAACAACTATTTTTTTCAGAAACACCGGAAAAGACGGAGAACCTCATTGGTGCCAACTGACACACAGACACTTGGGGTGTGGAGCTAAAAAAACGCCTTTAAATCCAAATAAAATGTATATTTGTCAATCCCAGCACATGTACTGATCATACATATTAAAAAACTAAATATAAGCCGTTTTAAAAAATTTCATATTCCAACGTCTATAATTATTATAGATGTTGGAATATGATTTTTAAACCCAAATTCAACAGTTGTACTCGTATAATTTAAGAGCCATGCAGCTTGAATCATGCTGGGAAGATAAGCAAAACAAAAATCACAGATAAAAAAAGATCCTACCACAGATATACATACAATATACAGTACATATATTAAGCTCTATGATCCTACGTAGAAACTAAAAGAGTAAATAAGCTAGAATCATGTAGGGAAGAAAAGCAAAAAGCAAAAATGATATTATCACATAATACGCGGCGCAGGAGTGTAATAAATAGAGGATATTGAATGAGTGTAAGTTCAATACTGAATTTATTGCACGAGTTAAATAAAATCATAATATTATTTTATTCAACGAGTGCAATAAATTCAGTAATGAATTTACACGAATTTAATATTCTATTTATCACATACCCAAAATAAAGACCGTTTAAAGTGAAAAAAGAGTCATTTTTCATTGACGCGCCTATAGTGTAACGCTAACATTTAGCGCGTCTTTACACTATGTTTGTATAATGCTAATGACGTCACGTCAAAATATATGCACGGCCGTGCAATACCATATTTACGGAGTCACAAAATCGGCACGGGTGTGTGATAAAGCCATTTAATAAAAACGATATTACACTAGTTTATTACATGTTTTGCAGTAGATTACTGAATTATAACGGTTAATTATATTCTGATAATTTCACAGTAATGATTACCAAATATAATTTCACAGTAGCCGAACTATATTTGGCGTAAAAATAAAATATTTATCATTAATGAATGTTTTTTCAGCGGAAATGTAGTCAATCATAATAAAAAATGTACGTGATAACTGTAGTTCGTAAATATTTACGAACGTTGTGCTGAAAAACATCTAAAATCTAAAAATAATCATGGAATTATATTTTGCTTCAACATTGTGACGTCATTATTTGATGACGTCATGAAGATAAGAGCATGACGTTACGCGGCAAAAATCAGTAAAATGGTGTAAAAATCGTTAAAAAATCATGAAATAAACAGAAAATTTGTTTGTTTTACATGTGAGATCAAATAATATTTCACTCGTGAACCCCAGCTATTATATTTTCACTCGTGGCTACGCCACTCGTGGAAAATATTGCATCTGGTGTTCACTCGGTGAAATATTTTTCGATCTTACACTGAAACAAACAAATATCCTCTATGTAATAACACTTTGACGTGACGTCATTTGCGCTATATATAAACATAGCGTTAAAGCGCGCTAATGTTAGCGTAACACTATAGGTGCGTCATTGAAAAATTACTCATTTTAACAGTTTATACTGTTCTTATTTTATATATGTGATAAATAGAATACTATATTCGTGTAGATTCAATACTAAATTTATTAAACTCGTTGAATAAAACAATATTATGCTCGCCAGAGGCTCGCATATGATATGATTTTATTCAACTTGTTTAATAAATTTAGTATTAATTCAATATCCTCTATTTATGCAAAAAATACAGTATTAGTAGCAAAGTACTGTATGTAGCCCGGGGTTCTATGATATCACGGTACTTAACGTTTATCGGAAAATATTCAAATATAAATATCATACATGAATGAGATTTTTCTTCTATTTAATAACTGATCCTTTTCCAAGACTGTCTGTCAAAAATTTATTTCTGAATATCCAATTGAAATGTCATATTTTAAACTATTTTCAATGTCTGTCATTTTGGGTAATTTCAGAGGAAGTTACTATGGTATCACGGTAATCCCAAATAATGCAAGTATGGAAGGATAGATGGATCAATATCTTAAAGACTTCCAACAGTTCACTTGCTATAAAATTCAAACTATATGAACAGACGATATGTCAGTATATGTTAATTATTATAACATATTTTAATTGACTGTGTAAAAACAATTACGGGAAATAATAGTCCAATATGAAGATTTTATCCACAAATACATTCATTATTCCCAAAATTAAATTTATTGGCAGATGAAAATCAATTTAGTGTGCCAGTTTTAAAAATATTAGCATCATCGTGTGTTCCTTTTACTAGCAGCCACAGAAAATGTAAATATCGTGATATCATAGAACCCGCGATATCATAGGAACCGATTTTCAACATAATAGCACGGATCTAAATTAGGCTACTGTACATGTGATATAAATCCGTGATAATAGTTAAAAAAAAACTTTGCGTTTTATTGTTTGATGTATTTCTTCTCGAGCTTCATAACGCGTGCGGTTAGTTTTAAAAATTTAGCTTCTTCTTTATTCGGAAGTTTCGGATATTTCGCAAGACCAATATTGCAAAATGGCGTACTACGGACAGCAGCAACAAGGATATGGTCAACCAGGTGCCCCTCCGCCGGGCCAGCCTGATCAAAACTTCCTCTACAGTGTTTTTCAAAGGTATAACATATCAGTCTCCCGAAATATTGTATTTAGCTAACCTGACTTTTTGTTGATTTAGAGAAATAACAGATATTTGGGACACTTTTTTTTAATTTTATATAAATATTTTTCATCATCAAATCAGGTTGGTGAAAATGCCCGATCGGGCTTAAGACATAAAATATCATATTTCTAGAAAAATAATTAAATTGTTTCTTTCTAACTTGTTTTGTTTATTCAGCATTTATATATGAAACAAATCAATATAGATTAATTTTGTTTATCTTTTATTTTCTTAGAATTATTTCCCTTTTTACCATTTTCTGACAACAAAAAAATTTAAGTTCATAAAAATTATGTTGTAACATAAAATTCTTAATAGAAATGTGTCCAACAAATTCATTTTGCTCTAGATTATTGCGCCAGTACCTTAATTCAATATATTTGGATTAAATATTGTTTCTGGCATTTATATTTTGAAAATTCTTAGCAACTGAACATTATACTTTGAAGTTTTCTCTGAAAACTGAAGGAAATGTATGTTAACAGGTGTTGGCGCAATGAATTAGACCATAAAGAAGTTATTTAACCTATTTTGTGTTATACTTTACACATTCAACACATTTTTTAAGGACTTCAAAAATTAATAAATGTGCTTTACGTCGAGATCTACCATGGTTAAACAAGTCCATTATTCGCAAAATTAGGAAACGTGATAGAACTTATTCAAACATTAAAAGGTCAAAGTCCCCATCAAATGATTTGGTCAAAAAGCTCAAAGTACTTAAAAGTGAAATCCAAAGAGAAACTAGGAAAGCATACTGGCAATACCTAGACTCTGTCATTTTTAGCCAAGACTCCCAAAATGTGAAAAATAAAAAATTCTACCAATATGTTAAAAGTAATAAAACTGAAAGCTGTGGTGTGGCACCCCTCAAATCAGAAGGTCAAACATTTACTGATCCGGCTGCAAAAGCAGATATCCTTAACTCCCAGTTTGAGTCTGTCTTCTCTCGGCCTCAGCCCCTTAGCTTATCCCAGGCTTGCAAACAGAAGCTTATTCCAAAACACCACCCATCTATGCCAGAAGTATCTATATCGGAAGATGGTGTGAAGAAACTTTTAAAAGACCTAAACCCAAATAAAGCTTCTGGTCCTGACCAAATATCCCCTAGGTTATTAAAAGAGCTCCATCAAGAGGTTACTCCCATACTGACCCACATCTTCCAGATCTCACTTAAAACAGGTATTGTCCCAGAAGACTAGAAGCATGCAATAATTGCCCCAGTTTACAAAAAAGGCCCAAAATGCAAACCCAGCAATTATAGACCAATCTCCCTCACATGCATAGCGTCCAAATTGATGGAGCACATCTTAGTGTCCAATATTATGTCCTTTTATGATAAACACAACATCCTTAGCCCCTATCAACATGGCTTCAGGTCAAAACGGAGTTGTGAGTCCCAGTTAGTAAGCTTCTCCCAGGAAATTCATGACAATCTTGAAAGTGGCCAACAAACTGATGTCATAGTCATGGATTTCAGTAAGGCATTTGATAAGGTGGACCATCACAAACTTGTGAGTAAACTAGAAAGATTGGGTATAAGTTATGAGGTTACAAATTGGGTCCATTCCTTCCTTAAGTCACGCTCCCAGCAAGTTGTAGTTGAAGGTCAAAAATCAGGAATACTACCAGTTCTCTCAGGTGTCCCCCAAGGCTCGGTATTAGGTCCCTGCCTTTTCCTTTCGTACATAAATGACCTCCCAGATAGTGTCAAAGGTAAGGTTAGACTCTTTGCAGATGATACTGTTGTCTACCTAACCATCAGATCTAAACAAGATGCCCAAACCCTCCAAGATGACCTTCATGCTTTAGAAAAATGGGAAAAAGACTGGTCCATGGAGTTCAACCCTGACAAATGTGAAGTTCTCAGGATAACAAGAAAAAGAAACCCTGTAATATTTCCTTATACCCTCCACAACATCCAACTCAACTCAACTCAAGAAGCAAAATACTTAGGAGTCACTATTAGTCAAGACCTTTCATGGACCAAACATATAAACTGTTTTAAACAACATCACATCTTAAGCAAATAACTCCCTCAGATTCATTAGAAGAAATGTTTAAACTCCAAATAAAAAGATAAAAGAAACTGCATATAAGACCTATGTTAGACCTCAGGTTGAATATTGCTCCATAGTTTGGCATCCTTGGCAGAAATACTTTATTTATAAGATAGAGCAAGTACAAAGATCAGTTGCTAGATACATTTTTAATGATTATGACTATACAAGTAGTGTCTCAAAAATGATAAATGATCTTAATTGGCAAACCCTTGAACAGCGTCGAAACATCAGTGCTGTAACCTACTTGTATAAAATCCAAAACAACATTGTTTTTGTTGACCACCAACACCTTACCCAAACAAGATATCTGAACTACCTGATACCCTACTCGAGGACACAATATCATCAAAATTCTTTCTTTCCTAGTAGCATACGTTTTTAGAATAGCCTTCCTCTAACTGTCCAGTCTAGCCCCAGTCTAAACATCTTTATTGAGAGGCTTAACCCATTCTATAAATTCTAAATCGCACACAATGTCTTTTAAATTAATAGTCTTGTAGAACTTTTATTCTTTTAACTTTTAAATTTGCATATAAATATTTTTTTTTATTAACAGTTCCCTGACAACGCGCCTGCTAGTCATAATCAGAATTGATTGTTAAGCAGTATGATGTAGATGTAGATGTTAAAACATGAAAAAGGGGAAATAGTTCTCACAAAAGAGCTGTAGTAGCCAAGTAAACTTCTTTCTGTTTACCTCAAATGCTATTCTGAATAAACAAACAAAGTTTAAAAGAAATATCTTTATTATTTTTATTATTTTTTATGTCATAAGCCCGATCAGGCATTTTCACCAGCCTGCAAATAGTTTCATGATAATTTTAATTTTCGTTGCTGTCAGCTCGTTATTTATTCAGTCAGCTCGTCATCATTTTGGTCAACTCATCACCTTATTTTAGGTACAAGAATTAGGAAAGATTCTTGGAAAGCTCCTAAGTGCAATCTTTACCAGTCCTAACTTTAGCCTTATGAAGTTATGTTAAAGACTAACAAATTAATATGAAATTAGGCAAAGCCTATGAACGGGGAAGTCGGTAAAAAATCCTTTCATTTTTCCGTTTTAAAGGTGTCATTCGATATTATATGTATCCGCTTCCGTTTTCACACAGAACACTCGACGATTATTATTAATCCGAAAAGTTGAGATTTGTTCCGTTATTGGTATACACCGCCTTTTATCATTGAGCTGCATTGTAAATGGCGGCGCCTAACTAGAACTGACACTGAAAATTTCATTGATAGGTATAGAATTCTATATATTTTTTAATTGTTTTTTTTTATTTGATTTTCTTTTAAATATACACGTGTAGTCTATAGCCGGGCAAGCCAATGCCCGGGCCCGCTTTGCGGGCCCAGACTTTGACTTCCCTTTATTATTCTTGATGAAACGCACCCCAGGAGTATTTATAATGGGACCAGGCTCATTCCATGTGTGTGTTTGAGTTTGTTTACACTCGCCACAGGAAAGAGACCATATGGGCGAGCTCATTCCATATTAAATATTGTAGTCCCTAGAAGTCCTTTGCACAAAGGATTTCTAGGGACTACAATATTTAATATGGAATTAGGCATTAGCTCGCCCATATGGTCTCTTTCTTGTGGCAAGTGTAAACAAACTCAAACACACACACACACATGGAATCATCCAGGAATGAGCCTTGTCCTATTATAAATACTCCTGGGGTGCATTTCATCAAGAATAATAATTTGTTAGTCTTAAACATAACACTAAAGTTAGGACTGGTAAAAATTGCACTTAGGAGCGTTTTAAGAATCCTTAGCAGCTTTTAGTCGGACCCGTATATTTACATGAGGCACATGTCACTGGTTTTAATGAGTGAATTGTGGACAATTAGCAATACAAGTACCGGTATGAATTTTAATCCACTTTTATGTGTGTGTTTTGTATTAACACTGATTGATTGACAGGGCTCTCATTAGGGTCAGAATTTCACGAGTCAAAGACTCTGGCCAAAATTTTCATGAGTCAAATCATTTTTTTCTAGTGTCATTTGACTACATGAATCATTTTTATGTTACAAAAATGACTGTATTGGAGGTCATTTTTGGAGATTCTAAAGTCTAAATTGACAGAAAAAATCCATAATTATAAATGTCTATACCTTCCCCCCACCTCCTCCACCAAAAAATAACCAAATAAAACAAAAAAATGAATTGCTGTGAAAGAATAAAATAAGCAGCAGCTTTTCTGATTAAATGTATAAAATATAAAAAAATTATCTTTACTGGTATGCTATATCATATTAATTTTAAATACCAAAATGTACCTTGGAATATTTAATGGAAAAAGAAATAACAAATGCACAGGTACTCCAAGTAAATCAAAGACGTATTATAAAACTTTAAAAGCAATCAATAATTGACACCTCAAGTATGTAATTCTTATCAGTTGTGTAGAGCTATTTTTAGCACTGTCAAATTGCAGCCACTGAATTGTCGCGCTTCAGTGCACAGGGTATAAACAATTGCCGTGTGTAAAGCATTTTATACACGGCTTATACTGCCTGTTGACATTTTTAATGAGTGAGATTTGAACATATGTAGGATTTGATAGGTAATTAGGGGTGGATTAAAGGTAATTATTATTGCATAGCTGAAAATCCCATGTGGCAAATTGACTCTTGAGCAGATTTTATCACGTGTCAAATTTGTGCATTTCCCGATTTTCACGAGTCAAAACCCGGATCCCCGTGTCAATCGAGAGCCCTGATTGATTTTCTTTAGACCAGGCGGTCAAGGGGTACCTATGAAAGTGCAAGCACTTATTTCCAGTAGGGTGCTTACCTTACCAGACTCTAGAGACAGCTATGAGATACAAGGGAATTCGGGAACAAGTCCCTAGCTCTTATTGAATAGATCCCTTGGTTCTTTTACATGCCCAGTGTAAAGCACTGATACATGCAAGGATTACCTGGGTTTCGTACCAGTAAACCTCTAGTTAGGTGGGAAACACTGCAAGTGTTTCTGAAAAATCCCAGTGTGTATCACAAATCATATTAAGTAAGCCTAGAGGCACTGTTTAAATTGAGAAGTCTTGAGAACCCTGGAAGAGTTTATTTAAATTGTATTTTAGCTGTGTTTAGACATCATATCTTATGCAGTGGCATAAAGAAAAATGTCACAATTTGAAATGAAGTGGTGAATAATCAAGATTTGGTCGCTACCCTAATTGAAAGATTATTTTTGATTACTCAAACAAATTTATATTTGGGTGTTCATGCATAATATACTATATTGCTCTGCCTTTGTGGTGCTCTTGTTCCATTACATCCCCGCTTCTCCAGTAAATAAACCATTATTTACAAATCCATCATACAGGTCATGCTTCTCTTAAGAAGCAGGTTCTTGAAGTATGCCCTCACAGCACCCTATAAGATACATGTACTAATATATAAATTTTGTCATCTTTGAAGATATGCACCAGTCAATCATTAACCTGGTCTATTTTTACTTTTTCAGAGTGGACAAAGATAGAAGCGGTCAGATTACGGCAAATGAACTCGCATCAGCTTTGAGCAATGGTAAATCTGATTTTAAAAAAATTAATTTCCCTTATGCATAGATGTATAGAGATAAGATCTAGAAGTAAAAGTCCTGGGAGTGGCACATATTTACAGACAATTTGATTATACATAATATTATTTGATGCTGTTTGTTTTGTGCCACTGTTTCATGTAATTTGTGAGTGAAATATTTGAGTTATCAAGATAGCTGCTGTCTTACATTGTATTATTTAAAGTGATGCTGAACAATACAAACTTTTATACATTTTCTTACACATTTCTACACTATCTTACGAAAATATATCTTAAATACCATACATCTTATTTTAATGATAATAATAATTATATTGTAGTTACATGTACATTGAGAAACTAAGTTTGAATGGGCTTACATAATAGAAAAAAACTTAATGTTTTCCTATACTTTTAGGAACTTGGACACCATTCAACCCAGAAACCGTCAGACTGATGATAGGTATAATGCTATAAAATTTTATTATATAGCAGTGTAATTTTTATTATAAAAACAGACAAAAACTGATTTAAACATTAAGTTGAATAAGGTTATTACCAGTAGGTTAATTATAATAAGAGTGCTTTCAAGCTATGCTGGAGAAAAAACGTTTACTTTTTTCTAGGATTTTTTGACATTTTTAAAAGTTGTTATAAATAAAGTTTTAAAAAGTAATCAATGAAACAAGTTGTCTTTTCTGAAACAGGTTATGTAGCCTGATAAAAAATAAAGGTCTGTTATAAAAAGAATGTTGATCAGTATTACTCTGTTATAACTGTTGAAATTAGTGAATTGTAGATCTGTAGTGCATGAGTGTGAATGTTTATACATGTACATGTATATTAATTTATAATTTAAAGTTAATCTTAATACTATGTTTGCAGGAATGTTTGATAGAGATAACTCGGGGTCTATAAACTTCCAAGAATTTTCATCACTGTGGAAATATGTGACAGATTGGCAGAACTGCTTCCGTAGTTATGATAGAGATAACTCTGGTGCCATAGATAAAAATGAATTGAAAACTGCTTTGACCAGTTTTGGTAAGAATGAGCTTGGTTATATTAAAATTTTAATGATAGAATATATATGAAATAACATTGGTTTACTTTCATAAATAGATTTAAACATTTTGAAACAAAATTTGGACTAGACTGAGAGGGGAAATGCTGCTTTTAATTTACATAGATGTGAATACCAAGTCAACATTTAGGATCTAATCTTCTTAATAAATGGTGAATCAAGATCTAGTATTTAGTAATTTCCTAATTTACACATGTATCAATACGCCACTAGCCAAATAATGTCAATAAAATTGATGTTATGTATATAAATGGCATGTAGGGAAGTGATGGTCTACGGATAAGTTGTAACCCTGCCCAGATGTAAAATGACTTAGTTAAAAAAAAACTGATCCTGGCGTATACCGTTTCTGCTAGGCATTTGGTAGAGACATATTTCCACAGAGCCTCTACTAGTAGGCAAGACAACCGGAACAAACCTGATGATGACCTTTGTTGTTGATTTTGACAAAACTGTAAATACTCTTGATAACTGTGAATTTAAGTTTTTGTTCCAGCAATTTTTCACTGTTGTGGGTTTCAGTGAGTATGAAACCAACTGGACATTCAACATATTTTTGTTAGTATGCTATACATTGAGTGAAATAAAACTGGCTCTACCTCCAGACACCTGTTTATACATATTTTTGTTAGTATGCTATACATTGAGTGAAATAAAACTGGCTCTACCTCCAGACACATGTTTATTTCTGATGAAACCATAATGACACCTAATGACCTTGAAAGTGTTTGTAAGACTAAAATTATTTATTCCAACCAGACGTGGGAAATAAACTGACACATACAATCTATTTTACACTTTGTTTTGGTGTTACATGTGCAAGTTTATCTGTGTATTTTAAGACTAATCACCACAATGCAGAATTTTCCGTGATATTGTAATTGAAATTTGTTGCAGTTCAAGTGATCTCAGTTCTTTATCGGAAATATTATGCAAGATGTCTATACAGACTTTAATGAAATGAGCAAATGAGATGATTTATGTAGAAAATCTGTGTTGGCATATACATTGTATTAAATTTTTATCATCTGAAGCATGCGATTATCAAGATATTAGGGCAGACTTTTAATCAACATGACAGCTAGCTGAATAAGGAGTCTTACATGATTTAATGTTACCCGATATATTTATAAATTTTGATGGGTATTTCAGGGTACCGTTTGTCCGATGGATTTTATTTTATATTAATTAAGAAGTTTGATCGTACTGGTAGAGGAACGATATCTTTTGATGACTTTATACAATGCTGTGTCGTTATGCAGGTAACAGTGTGTGACTGCATGCAGTTACCTCCCCTTCTGTTTAATACTAACTTAATACATGTACTTACAGTTGTCTCACATGACTGTTGCTAATTATAGTACAAGAATAGAATAATAGCATGCATGCAATTATCTCCCTTGATGATTACATTGTTTGAATACAGTTATCTTTCTTGGCCACACTGTTTCAAGTTAACTATTAGATTTCGGCAAGTCTTCCTAAGTTTGAATTATTATTATGGAAATGAATATACATTATAGGTGATTGATGTGACACACATTAAGTTCATTAATCTAAATAAAGATAAACTTATTTCTAAACTTATCTAAATAATTTCAGAATTTGCTACTGATCTTTTAGGCTTTAATTTTGACCTTTGACATAGCACAGTGATTACTATAAAAGATGCTGAATATAAAGCTGGGGAAGCAAGTTTTATTATTAGCATGTAAGAAATAAATACTTCTTAGCTGACCTGATACATGACTGACACAGGGATGTATGCTGAAAGGGAAGCAAGAAAATAGTAATTTGACCTGGTTTCTGAATTAAAGCAGTGCTTTTCCCCAAGATTTTTGGAACTTGACTCAAAGTCATGGAATTGGGAAATTTTAGCATTGTTTTGTTAAAAATTTGGAAAAAATACATGACTTAAATTTTGCAGTGATTAAATGAATACATATACAAAGAATCACTCTCTGAAGATGGCATCTTCAAACATTTAAGCATCATAGCAGTGAAGAAGCCCTCATTTTCAAAGGTTTTAGAATTTGTTATTCAATATTTTTATTTTGTTACTTTCAATTGGGATTTTTTTTTTGTGGATTGGGAAAATAATAAATAATATAAAGTTTTCAATTGGAAATATGACCAAATAAGCCCCAAAAAAACCCCTGTATAGATTGAAAGGGTTTTTTGTTTTGACCTGATTTTACTAACCTACACTTCGGTACTTAACTAACACGATTTAACATTTGACACACTTAACAGACTAACAGTCATTTAGACTGATGTTGCATGGTTTATATTTTACGATACTTTCAGGATACCGACTTTCTGACAGGTTTTATGACGTGCTGGTGAAGAAGTTTGATAGGTCGGGTAGAGGTAGTGTTGCCTTTGACGATTTTATTCAATGCGCTGTTTGCATGCAGGTAATAATTTAACACTTGAACTTTCAGGCTACAAGCTTTCTGAGAAATTTTACGATATATTGGTAAAGAAATTTGACAGGACGGGAAAAGGGCAGATTTCCTTTGATGATTTTATCCAATGTTGTTGTTGTATGCAGGTATGTTTGCCTAGATTTAAGTAGTTCTATATTGGTGCATGATATATAGTCAACCCTATCCTTAAATAAACATGAATCCTATTGTTTAAGATAAATATGCTTTTATAAAGAAATGGTTTGTAATTACGGGTGGCCAGTTTAACTAAAAAATTTGCTCTTGCTTATAACTAAATTATTCAAATTGGAAAATATAATGTTAAAATAAAATGATTTCTTTATGTAATCTTGATTGGTTATCTGTAAATTTAAAGGTTTGGGTGTATAAATACTAACAAAAAAAATGTATGCATGGATTTGGGATAATGATCTTGTAGCATTCATGGTTCAATACAGTACATGTATATTGTTTGTTATCTTATCATTTATAATAACATTTGTGTCTTTAAATTTTGAAAAAGTTTAATATAAATGATAAAAAAGATTTATGTGAAAATGAAGAATAGTGTAATACATGTATAATACAATGATTAGTATAGCTCCTTTTCTTAATGTTCTTTTAATGGTTTCATTATTTCATTGTTGCATGAAAAAGACTAACTAATGTAATTCATGATGTTAGTTATTGGTACTTTTTAACATTTTCTTTTTTAAATTGGAAATTTAATATTAACAATTATCACATACCCATCCCGCTTTTGTGACTGTGTAAAAATGATATTGCATGGTATGTGTATATATTTTGATGTGATGTCATATACACACATGCAGTTATAGATATGCTAAATGTTAGCGTTACACTATAGGCATAGCAATGAAAAATGATTCTTTCTTCACTTTAAACAGTCTTTGATAAATAGAATATTACATTTGTGTAGGTTCATTACTGAATTTATTGAACTTGTTGAATAAAATTATATAATGCTCGGCAAAATTTGATTTTATTCAACTTGTTCACTGAATTCAGTATTGAACTTACACTCATTCAATATCCTTTGTTTATGTACTATGTGAGGAATAATTTCTTCATTCTGATTATGTAGTATATTGTTTTGCTCATTAAATTCATGAATATATTATATTGTACATAGTATATTGTTTACAAATTATTAATGATGGTGCAATAAATACTTCTATTTTAATCTTAATTTTCTGGTTATAGGTAAAATAATCTAAATTTAAATTGAATCAGGTAAAATATATATTACACTACAGTATATGTTCCTGAAAATTTCATTACACAGTACATGTATATCATATTTAAATAGGGAGTATGTTTTTTAATTAGATCCTAAATAAATCTTTAGTTAAAGTTAATGACATGAAATTGTAAGAAAATAATATTTTATTAAGTTTTCCTGTGTTTGTATTTATCATAATAAACTGTTACTATCTGCTCACGGTTTTGCCATGTTCACTGGTCAGCCAGTACTTATACATATATTATTTCTTAATCACAATTGAAACAATAATTTTACAGTCCACAGACAGCAAAATAATACACTTAAAAGCAATTTAAATTTTGAAACATATTTACATACTAAAGTATAACATGTACAGAGTTTAGATCATACACATGTATAAGGCAGATTGAAGGAGTATTTGTTATTTTTTATTTCAGACATTAACAAGTGCATTCAGACAGCACGATTCAGATCAAGATGGCTGGGTGACGATTACATACGAACAATTCCTCTCATTGGTTTTCAGTTTGAAGAGTTGAAAAGTGTTCTGCACATTCTAATACATTAATTAACCACCTGTTATTGTGTAAAGATAATCAACTAAGTGTAAACAAGTCATATAACATTATTGATTAGTTGTCTCTGGAGACATTTGTATACAGTCAAATTTAAACAATTCTGCCATCTAAAAAAATGAATTTATTTTTGATTTTAAGTGTTATTGTTAGAATTTTGTACACATCTAAAAAAAATTTCTTATTAATCTTAAAAAGTGTATTTGTTACATATTTAGCAATTTAGCTCAGTATTGTTTATTTTTTTTAGCCAAGGATTCTGTGTATTCCATTTAATAACAGTAATTCTGTATAGCGAGTAGGTTTGTTTAAATATCTAATTGTCTTTGCTGAAATAAGTGTTTTTAAGTACAAATTTATGAAACAGTATTTGTTCTGGCAAGACAACACAGACTGCATGCTGCCTTGGCACTATAGATTATTTATTGAGAAATATTCTTGCTGGTATTTATGCTCAAGTTTATATACTATATCAATATATTTGTATTGCAGTTTGCCATAATGTCTTATGGTAAAAGGGGTATAAGAAAGTTATATACCTTTCTAATTATATGTGTTATCTTCACCAGCATTAAAATTGAAACCATCAAAATATGAGCCGTGTCATGACAAAACTAACATAATGCATTTGCAACCAGCATGGATCCAGACCAGCCTGCGCATCCACGCAGTCTGATCAGGATCCATGCTGTTCGCTTACAAACCCTATAACAAGTAGAGAGACTGATAGCGAACAGCATGTATCCTGATCAGACTGCGCGGTAGCGCATGCTGGTCTGGATCCATGCTGGTCGCAAATGCATTAGGTTGGTTTTGTCATGACACAACTCATATACTTCCTGTTATCATTAGTGATAGATATTTAGCAAATGTAATGATACCATGAAACAGTTTTCACAGACCCATTTCTGATTCACAATAATTTTCCTATTATTTTTTACATTTTTTATGTATAGTGAATTTAAGTATATGTATCTGCCTGTTTTCTTTGATTGCACAAGTTTTTCTCAGTAATTAAATTCTAAAAGCAATACTTAAATGTTGTGTAGATCTAGTATTATTATGCCCCCACTTCAAAGAAGAGGGGTATATTGCTTTGCATTTGTCTGTCCTTCGGTCCGTTGGTCCATAGACCAAATGGTTTCCGAGTGATAACTAAAGAACCCTTAGGCCTAGGAACTTCAAACATGGTATGGTGATTGGTCATGACCAGTAGATGACCCTTATTGATTTTGGGGTCAAGGGGTCAAAGGTCAAGGTCACATTGACCTTGTAAGTAAAAACGGTTTCCGATCAATAACTAAAGAACGCTTAGGCCTAGGAACTTCAAACTTGGTTTGGTGATTGGTCATGACCAGCATATGAACCCTATTGATTTTGGGGTCAACGGTCAAGGTCACATTGACCTTGTAGGTAAAAACGGTTTCCACTCTATACCTTAAGGACCCTAAGGCCTAGGAACTTCAAACTTGGTATGATGATTGGTCATGACCAGTAGATGACCCCTATTGATTTTGGGGTCAAAGGTCAAGGTCACATTGACCTTGTAAGTAAAAACGGTTTCCGATCAATAACTAAAGAACGCTTAGGTCTAGGAACTTCAAACTTTATATGATGATTGGTCATTACCAATAGATGACCCCTATTGATTTTGGGGTCAAAGGTCAAGGTCACATTGACCTTGTAAGTTAAACGGTTTCCAATCAATAACTAAAGAACGCTTAGGCCTAGGAACTTCAAACTTTATATAACCAGTAGAAAACCCTTATTAATTTTTTGTTCACTGGGTCAGAAGTCATGCATAATAACCTGATCACAAGACTTATTGGCTGCCCATAGGGGGCATACATGTTTTACAAACATATCTTGTTGTACATAAGTCTTGTAAGATTTCTCTGAAATAATAGGAAAAAAGCTGTGCACAGCTTATGTTTTTGCAAACCAATATACTAGTACATGTAACTATGATAATTTCACAATTAGTGTATTTAGATGTAACTGTTAAATCTTACATTTCAGTACTGGACAGAGATTTTCATATTGTGAATAAATTTTTCTATTTTCACATATTTTTATTATGATTAAAAAAGTTCATTTAAGAAATTCAGCTGGATGAGGTTAGTATCCTATCAAAGACAGTAAATATACTCTTATTATCAATTCATGATCACCTTCCAAGCATGTCAGTGTTTGGACTTTTCTTTTTTAGCTTTTCTTTTCACCTTTTACTAACAATCCGACGTGCACTAAATTCCTGCCTTTAACACTTGTAAGAGGGGTTGGCAGTATCCAGAGATAGATAGATAGATGTTCATGTAATATAATGTCACAGCTAAATTTTGAACCTGTTTAAAACCTGAAAATTAATTACATTATTTTAACAAATCAAATGCTATGAAGTACATATTATTATTCTTACCAAATGATTATTACAAAAATGTACATATTTGAATGTGAAATTAAAGATGATATGCAGATTTTCTGATCTTTAATTATGCTATCTTCATAGTAGAAAAAATGTTTTAATAAAGACATACCTGCTTAAAGCAGCATGCCTCCAGATTAATGCTTATTTTCATGTAAATTTTGAAAATGTAATTAAAAGCAAAATATTGTATAGGCAATTTACACATTACCAATGGCACTTACAACCCATGTTAATTTCAAAAAGAGGTCGAAATATGCGAAAAATTACCCTTAAAGCATTAGTAACGCAGTAGAAATATAGTCACACATAATGAAAAAAAATACCATTAATCGCCCATAGCATGTGAAATATTACTCGAATCTTGAATCTTTCTACTTTTCCTAAACTCTGAGTACACTTTTCTCAAGTTTGAAGTTATCGAAATATTTTTGCTCATCTGGAGGCATGCTGCTTTAATAGTATACATGTAATACATTATGATGCTTGCTGAGATTTTTTTAATGAAAAAAGCAAGAATGATGTGACAATGTTTAGTATCTGAATAAATTGTAAATATATAAAACATACTGCTTTTGCTTTTTTTGGATTGTTTAACAATTTAGTTTATCGAAATTGAAATTTGAAGCTTTTATTGGGGTCTTTTTCTCTTACACTACCTCTACAATATCTTCTTTTGAAATCAATCTCATGGTGATAAATATATAGATTTAATCTTTTCCAGGGAAGAATACATGACTCATTCGTTGATAATGCTCTAATTTTGGTGTAATATTAACTTACAAGTTTTTGCAGATCTGTTCTGACTTCACTTCATTGTATCAAGCTTTGAGAATAGCCAAATGGCTTTCTTACAGACAGCTCTTGCTATTCTCAAATTTGAGCTTTTGCAAGTAAACAATATGTGGAATAGAGATAGAATGAGTTCCTTACACAGGTACTACTTTTCATACATGTAAGTCATATAGTAAAGCTTATATAGATTTAGTGTATCTATTAAAAGTACATGTATTTAGATCTGGAAGTATATGTATGCAAGGGACATTATATTTGGAACAAAATGCAAGATTCATGTTTTTATGTACATATCTGTTTTAAAGGTGGAAAATAACAATTATCTTTTCCTTAGAAAACACCATCATCACAGTAGCTTAATTAAAAATTTTACAATTTGTTCCATTTTGTTTCCTGCTTATATAGCAGGAGACTAAAAATCTGGCAGACATGGCACTTTGGTGATATTTGATTTGTTGCCATTTTTACATACATATTTGAGTGCCAGGATGAAAGAAGGAAGATGAATTTTCAAGTTTTAAAGTCATAGAAATGGGTAGATGGGATACCTGACGGTAATATGGCAACATCAACCTAATGCTGGGGTACTACATTTCTACCTATTCCAGCTCTAATGTGAAAGTTGTTAGAATATACACACAAAAGTTGATTGTTTGATTGTAACTACCAAAGATAATAAGATGTTCTTATAGATACAGTCTTTGATTCTTGTTATATTGTTATTTCTGTCCAGCATAGTATGTAATATAGTAAGTGAATGTTATTTTCAAAGTTTTATTTTCTCAAGTGTGATCAAAAGAAAGTATAAGATCTGATTAAAGAAATAAATCTGTTTACATTTGAGGAAGCTATACAGCAGCTTACATGTCAGAGATTGGTGGTATTACTGTGATGCTCTTGTGTATAAAATAATACTTTCGTGTTTCTCTCTCTGTTAGAAGTTTGAAAGTAGCTTATAATATTCATAATGTTAATGTGTCTTGAACTTATAAATTCATTTCTATGAAAGGTTTTTTGATTAACTTATATTCTAATTAGATTGAAATACATGTAGTTTAAATGCACATTTTAACTGGTCTGTTTTTCATTGGAAAATGTACATTTAAAGCTGCATGCCTCCAGATGAGTCAAAATATTTCAAGAAAATAAAACTTGAGAACAATGTACTAATATTTAAAGAAAACTAAAAGAAAACTTCAAAATTCAAGTAATAATTTACATGTTATGTGTGATTAAACACAGATTTTGTAGTATTCATCACCATATTTCCACTGCATGACTAATGCAGTAAGGGCTGTTTTTGCATATTTTGACCTATTTTTGGTAATTTACATGCGCTGTTAGTGCTGTTTGCAATGTTTAAATTATTTTCTTTGTTTACTTCACAATATTTTACAGCTAAATAACTTTCATTTTGTGTGTGTGTGAAATTAGGATGAATCTGGAGGCATGCTGCTTTGAAGAATTTTTAGTCTTGATATTTTCCTTTCATTTTCTGTCATTTTATTTATATAGTGCTTTATATGTTATATTGTATAAACTAATAAACTATAGTGAACAACTACATGTACACTAATAAAAGTAAAGCTTTAGTGTGTGTTTTGTTCTTTAATATTGCTTTATTTGTTATTTTTATTTGGGATGAAACTTTGGCACTTATTATATACCATACAGTTGTGAAAGATGGTATATACATAAAAGTTATTACTTCAGAAAGTATTTGCTTGCGCTTTTTAGCTCCCCAGAGCCGAAGGCTCAGGGTGAGCTATTAGTATCAAAGGGGGATGCTCCGGCGTCCGTCATCATGCGTCAACAATCGTCTTCTTCTCTGAAACTACTGGACAGATTTACTTCAAATTTGGTCTGTAGCATCCTTGTGACAGTCACACTTGAATTTGCTCATGTCATTCCAATTGGCCCCTTTTAGGGGTCAGCAGAGCTAAAAATAGAAAAACCTTTAAACATCTTCTTCTACAGAACTAATGGATGGATGATCACCAAACTTTGTCTGTAGCATACTTGGGAAGTCTTTTATCAAGTTTGCTCATATTCATTTGATTGGCCCCTTTTAGGGGTCTCTAGGGCTAAAAATAGTAAAACCTTTAAACATCTTCTTCTACAGAACTAATGGATGGATGATCACCAAACTTTGTCTGTAGCATTCTTGGGTAGTCTTTTATCAAGTTTGCTCATATAAATTTGATTGGCCCCTTTTAGGGCCCGCAAAAGCTAAAAATAGAAAAACCTTTAAATGTCTATTTCTACAGAACTAATTGATGGAAGATCACCAAACTTTGTCTGTAGCATTCTTGGATAGTCTTTTATCAAGTTTGCTCATATTCATTTGATAAACCCCGTTTTAGGGGTCTCTATAGCTAAAAATAGAAATACCGTTAAATGTCTATTTCTAGAGAATTAATTGATGGATGAACACCAATCTTTGTCTGTAGCATTCTTGGGTAGTCTTTTATCAAGTTTGCTCATATTCTTTTGATTATAGCCCCTGTTAGGGGCCGGTAAAGCTAAAAATAGAAATACCTTTAAATGTCTATTTCTACAGAACTAATGGATGGATGATCACCAAACTTTGTCTGAAGCATTGTTGGGTAGTCTTTTATCAAGTTTGCTCATATTATTTTGATTGGCCTCTTTTAGGGGCCGCTAAAATTAAAAAATTGATATACATTTAAACGTCTATTGCTACAGAACTAATTGATTGATGATCTGTAGCATTATTGGGTAGTCTTTTATTAAGTTTGCTCATATTAATTTGATTAGCCCCTTTAAGGGGCCGCTAAAAATAGAAATACATTTAAACATCTTTTCCTACAGAACTAATTAATAGATGATCACCAAACTTTGTCTGTAGCATTTTTGGGTAATCTTTTATCAAGTTTGCTCATATTAATTTGATTTGCCCCTTTTAGGGGCCGCTAAAGCTAAAAAAAAAGAAAAAAAAACCTTAAAACATCTACTTCAGAACCAATTGATGGATGATCACCAAACTTTGTCTGAAGCATTCTTGGGTACTCTTTTATCAAGTTTATTCATATTAATTTGACTAGCCCCTTTTAGGGGCCACTAAAGCTAAAAATAGGAAAATAGAAAAAAACCTTCGAACATCATTTCCTACTGAAATAATTGATAGATGATCGCCAAACTTTGTAGCATTCTTAAGTAGTCTTTTATCAAGTTTTCTCATAGTAATTTGATCAGCCCCGTTTAAGCTAAAGCTTAAATACCCCAGGTCATGGCATTTATTCAAATTATTGTTTAAACATATTCTATGCTCAAATTTAATATTAGAATATATTGACATTCCAACACTGGAAAGCAGTTGTTTCTGGTGAGGGACTCAGGGCCATCATGGCCCTCTTGTTTATATTACAGATTGACCTCACCTGGGTAAATGATTTTATTTGTATCCAAGATCAAGAACCCATACAAAAGTTAGACTGTTCAAGAAGCCAAAAGTCAGATGACACCTTTATGTATACATGACAATTTACAGAAGGTGTTCATTGAAAACATTCTAGATAAAGAAGATAAGAAATAGAAAAAGGTTGTGCATGAAAAAAGAAGAAAACTGTATAAAAGCTTTGCGAACTTAACCTTCCTTGACAGTCCTGTTGGAGGCATTTTACATATAAATAAACTATTGATATGATTACATTTTTTGTATAAAGTATTTTCAAATTTACACAATATGGTAAGTTTCAATTCTAAGCAACTAATTAAAGACAGGGTGAACAGTTTTGAAAATATCAACATGCTTTCCTTTCTCATACCTGAGTCATATTATAGTATGTAAGATGTATTGTCTGATGTGGTTGTTGTAAAAAAATGTCAACAATGTAAATGATACTTCTTTAGCTTTTTATTACATGGGAAAGGTCCACTTGTCATATAAAACATTAATTATGATTAGCAATAATATCACCCCAAGGATTTTATCATTCCTGATACCGATAATCGGAATATACCCAACAATGTTTAATTTTCACAAGAAAGGAAAAGTACAAATACACCGTCAACCGTGGCAAGGGCAAGCAACTCTGTCTAAAAAGGTAAACAAAGTCTACTTTTTTATTTCATTTTACTAATTCTTTGCTTGCTATGAACTGTCATGTCATTTAATCTTTTGGATTAGTAAGGAAAAAATCATGATTTAAAACAGATCGTTATTGGCCATTTTGTTATTTAAAAGATCATGATATTTCAATCAATTTAGACAAAAAGCACAGGAGCTTGATCAGATAATTAAGAAACAACGGCAAAAATACGCCTCTATACAAATTTATTTATTGTATACAGGGGTAAATTTGACGTTATTTCTTAAATGTTTGCTTATATTTTTCAATTATTGATGTCAAGCTCCTGTGGTTCAAAGTTAGATTCACAAATGGAAGACCACTGAAGACCCTGACAAGTCAAATGCTGAAGAAATTAATGATGAGGGTCTATTTTCCCATTAAGTCACAAATAGACAATAGTCAATTTTGAAGCATAGTGGGGATAATTTACCTTGGTGCAATTTCCACAGAGTATAATCCAAGTTAAAAGAGATGAATTTTTAGCCAAAAGTAGGTCACTGTTGTATTGTATTCCAAGACAATATGAAAAGGTGAGTTATCCCTGATAAGAGCAGTTGGTGCTGTTGCAAAGTGCAGTCATCGAATTTAGCACTGGCCCGGTGGCCCATGGCCAGTGAAAATTAGTTCGGACCAGTGTAAATTTTAAAAAAATTTAGTTAAATATATAGTAGAATAAATATAAAACTGGAATTCGGGCCAGTAATTCAAAATAATATGAAATTAGGCAAAGCCTCTGCACAGGGAAGTCGTTTAAAAATTCCTTTCATTCTTTCCGTTTTAAAGGTGTCATTCGGTATTACATGCATCGCTTCCGTTTTCACTCGGACCACTCAACGTTTATTATTTATCCGAAAAGTTGAGATTTGTTCCGTTATCGGAATACCCTGCCTATTATCATTGAGTTACATTGTAAATGGCGGCGCCCGACTAGAACTGACACTGAAAATTTCATTGATAGGTATAGAATTCTATATATTTTTTAATTGTTTTTTATTTGATTTTCTTTTAAATATACACATGTAGTCTATTGCCGGGCATGCCAAAACCAGGACCCGCTTCGCGGGCCCGTTCTTTGACTTCCCCGTATTAAATTCGATGACTGAAAGTGCCTGCCTGTCAAGCTGTTACTTCATTCTAGGGCTCCCGCACTTTGTAGGGTCATTCCTCACAGCTTCAGTCAGGACATCAGCAGCTGGTTTGTACATCTTGATAGAAGCTAAACACCCAAATGCTTTGTGGTGGTAGTTTGGTCTCTTGGACCTTCCTTAAATGTACAAAATTAATGCGTAGATCTTAACCAGTCAACAAGTCCTTGGTGAGGCAAAGTTCAGGCAAACTCCAAATCTTCTGCCGATGCCCTGTGCCTCACCATGACATGCACATACCGGGGGTTGAGAGAAATGAAAGACCCTGATTAAAGCAATGAGATAATATGTTGTAATAATTATAATTGAAATTATACTAGAAATGTAAGGTGAAATGTTTCCAATTTTCAAATACATTGATTCATTTGATTCATTTACATTGTACATATATGTTCATTTTATCAGCAAAAACTTTTCTTATAATGCTATCCCATTAAATCAGCATATCATACTCACACTGCAGGGCATTTTTTTTCAAAATTGTGAAGGGGCCTGGACCTGTTCTTTTTGTGAAAAAAGCGCAATTTGTCATAGAATTGTGAAAAAAAAACATATTATTTGGCATTTAGCGACATTATGAAACCGGAAAATCTGCTTCAAGTCGGTACTTTAACTCGCTTAATATGTGCTTAAACCATTTAACTTGATTAAAACTATTTCTGTGTTCTTGAAAATGGCGTAAATCATGTTTAACTGGAAGGTAAACAATGTATTTCAAAAAAGACAAATTCCCAATATTTTGTGAAATTTCTTTTGAAATTGTGAATTTTTTTCCTCCACTTTGTGAAAAAAAAGTGCAATTTTGAATTGTGAAGGGGCCTTATATCGGCCCCTGTTATAGAAGCTAAAAAGGCCTGCACTGGGTAAAGATTCAAAAACATTATTTTAAGTATTTTTGTGTTTGTAAAATCATACATTTCATTAAACTTGTGGTGTGACTGCCAGACACTTGGCAGACAGGTTTAATTTCATCATGCTGACTAACAAACACTAACCTATACTTAACTATATTTATATAGAGGTGAACTGGTAAGAAATCCAGGTAATCCTTGCATGATTGTATCAGTGCTATACACAGAACCAAAGGGTCTATTCAATAAGAGCTAGAAACTGGTTCCCGGATTCCCTTGTATCTCATAGCTGTCTCTCAATTTAATGTATACAATTTTTACCTGCTTAGTGTAATCGTAAACAATTTTGAAGCAGTATGATGTAGATATAGATAGATATATTGTTATCTATGATTCTCTGCTTAAAGGAGCTATTTTTGCTTGACCCTTTTACAATTCCAGTACCTCTTTAATATTGTTGTGTTAAATGTAAGGTTTGAATTTGCGTCTTCCCATATCTAATATAAGAATTTATTTTTTCATTGAGTCAGTAAATTATGATATATTATATATAATTACATGTGTGCTGAAATATTTGCATCAAAGATATAGCAGCAAATGACAAATGAAATGAATGTTGATAACTTAAATTAAAAAAACTATTTAATCACTTTTAATTATTCATATAGCTCTAAAATGGGGAAGAAAGATGCATCAGGAATCCATGGTACACAGGTTGATCAGTACAGGAAACAGATAGGTATGTATTAAGAATTATCTATTTGGTTTGCTATGGTTGTTTGCGTAATGCTGCTAACCACACTTTATTATTGATGTTGTTTTCAACCTGACTACTTTTCTCACATTAAATAATATGTAGGTGACATCTGACAGTAGTCTTTGCTGTTTAAAACCCAACTATTAAATTGAAATTAGTACATAATTATCATTGCTGCCTATTTAAAGAAACATCAGACTCATTTGATCATACCAAAAGAAAGTCTCCATTCTCATTTTTAACTCGACTATTTGAAAAATAGTGAGAGCTATTGTACTCACCCAGGCGTCAACATCAAACTTTGGTTTCAAATTTTTTGTTTGCAAGTTAGTATCTGTAAAGTACTGAAAGGAATGGGTTAAAACTTCACACACTTATTGAAGAGCATAAAAGAAGGTCACTTTCCAATGCCAGTAACTCTGATGTTGATTGACAGAATAATGTCCCTTTTTCAACTTAGAAAACTGTACATTATCCAGGCTCTTGTTTTACTTTCAAGCACTGAGAGTGATAATAGTAGAGTGCACTGTTCTACCAACAGCTCTTGTTTGCTTTAATTTTGATAGTTAATATTTCCAAAGAGTGTTATTATTCACACAAATTTAAACATTATCGTTTATCAAAAAATTATAAACCTGTTAACGTTTTCACAGGAAAACAAGACTACAAGAAGGCAAAGAAAAGCTTAAAAGCATCAAAAGCTGCACATGATCTAAAAAAATCCTCTACACCAGTCAAGGTTTGTACAAATAATTTGAAGTAATGTCTTCTTCCATTCTGCCTTTGCTACTATATCCTATCTGCAGTACGCTGGTTACAAATTTTGATTAGCAGTGATAGGTGAAGATAAAATTGTCCATCCATGTAAGTAGGTGTGATTGGAGAAGCTTTGTTTAATACCAGCAAGGCTGAATCAAACAACTAAATATCTATATTGTCATTTCAGTATTACATGTATTATAGTAAACTTACACCAGTAATAGCTCATTTTTTGGAACATCGCCATATGACCTATACTGTGTCGGTGTGGTTTAAAACCCAATCAAACAAACAAAGCTCATTTGCTTCCTAGGTAAAGTCAAGCAATTATGATGTCTGTGTTGTGCAAAAACTTTAATGTAGTACAATATTCAACATGTTCAATCATTTTAAAAGTGATCAACATGAAACTTGGAATATTTACTTATCACAACAAGACACAGTTGTAAGACAAGGCACACAATTACTTTCTTGATTTATCACCCTTTCTGTCAAAATTCCAGGTAGTTGCCCTGAACAGACAAGCATTAACAAGGCATGCTGTGCTCTTTTTATAATATTTTATTTTAATGTAGAATTTCAATCAGGTGTATGTGTCAAGCTTGTAGAAAAAATATAAATTGCTTTTAGCTAATAGTGAGATATCAGTAAATTCTTTGAGTAATAACAATTTAAATTTGTCTTAAAAAACAAAAACTTATAAAACATCTGAAGAACAAACCAAATGAACTTGCCCCTTAACATTGATAAAGTGAATTTTATTAAATACAGATTGCTTACTGGTTTCCTAGCAGTTTCCGTCCCTAGCAGTTTTCCGGCCGTTTATCATTTTCGTCCAGTACAGTCTATTTTTACCAGTGAGGCATCCACATTACTTCATCAATTAGATAGAGACATTTGTTTTCTATGCTAAACAGCATTTAAAATAGTACAACGATTTATATGTTTTGAAGTTTTGCCTTTTATTTAAAATTAGATAAGAGAACTTGCGACTTTCAAAAATAAGTAAAACATAGGGAATTCTAGTTTGAATATCCATGCGCAATAACTAAGACCCCATTTTAGGTACCGTAAAATTCCTATTAAACGCCCCCGGGGGCTAAACATTTTCCAAAAGGGGGGCTATTATTACAATACAGTTTTTCCTAAATCCAAAAATCACTGTAAATACATTTAGTGTTAGCGAGTGTTGGTAATAACATTAAAAAGTGTTAAGGTTTTAAAGTTCATATTATACAAATTTGTGTTTACTATAAAATACTATGGATTCTGAATGATTTGAATAAAATTATGGCTTTAATTATAAGTTCAGCACTGAGAAGTAGATTGTTTTCCTTATCAAAAGGCCTGGGGGGGCCTTTATTAGGGGAGGGGTGTTTATTAGGAATTTTACGGTAAATCAATACTTTGGAAAATATTTTTGCAGACGCCACGGAAATGGTTGGGAAGTTTTGTTTGTCTGATAATACCATCCTAATATTGCTTTATGGTACTGAATTATATTCAAAATCAAAAAGGTCCGGAAAACTGCTCTGAATTTTTGAATAAAAGTGAAAAAAGTACAATGTAGTTACATTTTAGGCCTGTATTCAAATTAAAAAGTATGTGCAATATTAATCACATGGCAATGCTGGACAGGTACCTAACTTTGTCCTGTCAAAGTTTTGTACCTCTCCCTAGACTGACTTTTATTTTATTTGTTAAAAAGTGCGATTTGTGGCCAGAAACTGCTAGGAAACCAGTAGACTATCAAAAACACACAGTCATTTTCTGGATAAAATCTGTTTTAAATTTGCAGGTTTTAACTTGCTATAAGCATTGTCAAGATTCAGTCTGTATTATAGGGCTATTATCCAAACATTGTTAATGTGATCTTTGAGATTTTGTTTTTATATCAGTTAGCTATCACATAATTTAACCTTGTTTTATTTTTCAGGACACCATTCTGATAGTGTTAACTGGACTTTGTGCTGTAGTAGCATTATATTTAACCCTATACTGGTATCTAAACAACAAAGAACCTATCTTTGATGATGTTTGAAAACAAGATTGGCTTATCATTAAAATACAATATCAGTGTGGTATATTATGCAATAAACAATGATGAATGGTTTTGGGCAGATAATGAAGAATTTATGGTGTATACTCTACAGAAAGTGTGGTATAAGGAATATTCAGGAAAAGGGAAAAACAGTTTGGTTGTGATATACTGTAAACAAAGTGAGAACAGCATGTTTGTAGGTTAAAACTGTTTGGTTATGATACTTTAAAGGATTAAAGAAGTTGGTATGTGATATCATAGTTATCTGTGATATAACATCAGTTATTATATGATATAAAATCAACATCATGATATAACACTAGTTATTATATGGTGTAACACCAATTACTATATAATAATGATATAACATCAGTTATAATATGATATAGCTCCAGTTTTTATATGGTATAACATCAGTTATTAAAGTTATTATATATTATAACATCAGTTATTTTAATATACAATATCTTAATGCCATCTGGACATGAAAGTAATTAACAGAGCTACAATGCAGTAATCCAAAGGAAAAGCATGACACCAGTTTTCTGATGGCAAACTGAAATGTGATATCTTCAAGACGTTATGCAATTGTGAATTATTGTGATAAAACCATACTTACATGCCTAGTGTGATAATTTGATAACATAAAAAATTACTGGTAATATAGTTTTCTGACTTGTGTTTAATTATGATATCCATAGACTACTGTGTTAATACCTGTTTTAAACAAAAAATTGAAAGCATAATAATAATTGAAACTTTAAAATTTTACTTTTAATATATGCATGCCTCTTCTACATGCTCTATATTTCAATTTGTAAAGAAAGTCATTCCTATTAATTTTCTATTTTTGATGAGGATTTACATGTTTATTAATATTTGTTATTTTTTTTTTTTTTTAATGACTGGACATTTATTAAATAAATTCTAAATAATTATTTAAATATATGTTGAAGATCCCACCCATTTATTTATTTATGAATAGTCTTTTATTTCTATGTTTATAAGTCCCATTTTCTGTTATTTCTGTTCTGTTATATTTCTGTTATTGTTTATATCATTGTGTAAACTTTGTGTGTCAAAATTATGAATGGGTTGACGTGTATTTCAAATATAGGGTACAGTTTGTTTAAAGTGTATAAAGCTGATGAAATATTAAGCAGTAAAATAATGTTGTTTTGATAACCTTATGGTTGTTTCTTCAAAGAGTTGCCACATGCAATGTCTTTGTACTTTAATATACATGAATATTATATGTAAACAGAATTAAATGTTCACCATAAAAAATATTCCTCTGATAGTTTTTAGTAGGCTGGGCACTGATTTTCACATTATGTATTTCTTTTTTAATGAGAATTTTTCTTGATCAACCATCACTCGGCAAAAAGTCATACAATTCTGATTATTTCAAATTGTTGCAAGTGCTAGCAAGAATTTCATGTGAATTGTTTTTGAGATTGTTACAGATAATGCTGCATGTATATTGATTTTCCACTAGAAATTATAAGAAATATTTATGTTGAATATTAAGTAAGATGTGCTTCTTAGAGTGTACTAGTATATGGTAATGTCTCATACATGTAAGGGATATTAGCTAGATAATGATAAGATGTATTTGTGATTATCTACCTTAGACTGTGAAAATTAGAACTATCATAATTTAAGTTTAAGTAATTTAAATATTCTCAATATTTTCTGTATAATCCTATTATCAAATGTTCAAGTACGGAGGTATTTCTGAAAATTATTTCATTTAAGTATTATCATAAAGTTATATGCAATAAATTAAAAACTAAAGGAGTTGTTTAGCTTTTCTTTTATTTATATCTTACATATTATGTGCATGTTTTGTCCTTCTGGGTATGTTACATATTAAATTTGAAATACATGTTGTCTTTTGAAATTACTCAGCTGGCTAAATGGATGTTAATAGTAGTTAGTCAGACCATTGGTTCTATGGATACATGATGATTTAACTACAGTAAGACAATTACTGACACACTTGGTTAGGCAAGATTAATAAATAGTAAAGTATCAAAACGCAGTGGCCTGTATTGAGAGACTGACCTGTTTGTATTGTGACAACACTAAGGTGACTTCAAATTTGAAAATCTTACAAATATCTTGTAAAGCAAAATGCAGAGGATAACGAAGAAATAATAAACATGTACTCAGAATTTACTCTGCTATTTTTCATTGAATGGCCTAGAAATCTGCATACACGTTATTTGCCCTATATCAATTTGTACACAAATCTCGGAAAAAGTCATGTCAAAAAAAAAGAGAAAAAAAAAGAAACGCTATTAGACATAGAATTTCAATTTGAAAATACGATTTAAATAAAATTTTTAATAAATATCGGTAGAATTTAAAATACATATCAGTAGAAAACTATAGATTAAAGTTATTATAATGTAACTAGAAACTAAACACTTTCATGAATACACATTATTAACTTGCAGTTAAGTAAGATCTTCCATGAATATGATGACACTATCAGTGCCGAGGATGATCTTATCTGAGGAACTATCAGCTGTTGCTCGAATTAATTACAAAACCTGTTTGAAACATACAAGAATATTTTGATGCATATATTATTGCAGATTTTTGTTTTGATTTGGCAAAGGAGCTTCTGTTTAAAACTCAATCTATACCAGTATATTATCATGTTAATATTATTATCATTATGAACCTTGGAAAGTGACCCACTATCATGCTCTCAAATAAATTTGTAAAGTTTCAAACCATTCCCTTCAGTATTTTTGAAAATACATAACCAATGTATGACGCCGTAATGCATACATTACTAGTCCACTCCCGACACTTTTAATTCTCGAAATATGGCCTTCATCATATAAGGATATGTGTTTCATTTTTTTTGTATTTAGTTTAAACAATATTTTATTAATAATCCACACATTTACATAATAAATTACATAAAATAAAATTTACGGATTGAGTAGGAAGCTTGTAAAGCTTTTTTGAAAACTCTCTCCGTAATCAGTATTTAACAAATTTCAAATAAATGGTAACAAAATATAAATATCTAAACTAAACTATACATATCATATCGACTTGTTCTTGATTTCTTACTATACATACTATGTTTATGTCAAGTATTCATGAACTAAATTTAAGATACATTGCTGTTAGATAGAGGTATAAGCACGAGTATGAATTCATTTTTAAAGGGATATATTGCTTAGTTTAGTGATTGGTTAATTAAACTAATATGTTGAGAAATTTAATTATTAAAACATGTACATTGGAGGAGAAGTAATAATAGAAGAGAAAAAGAGATAAGGAACAAGAGAAAGAAAGAAAGTCACTTTACTACTATGGAGTTGGAGGACCTTTTTCTTTTCAAACGAATATTACTATGTATCAAATCTTTTTGTTTTTTGTATGTATATTTGTATATGTGATATAATTGTTTCGTTTTGAGCACCGGTAAGTGAATTATCGCCGTATAGTAAATTATTCAATGTTACAGTTGTGATTTGACTTAAATTGTTTATAAGGACAGTGCGGTCATCTTGATACATGGGGCAGCGGAGGAAATAGTGTTCTGTATTTTCTATTTCACCACATATACAAAAAGGACTGTCTATTATGTTTTTAGAAAACAGATGTTCATTCAGAGAGCTGCAATGTGTTCTTAATCGTGTATGTATTATTTGATATCTTCTTTCACCTATATAATAGTGAGCTGGAACTTTTTGGACATCTTCATTTAGTCTTTTTTTGAAAATTGCAAGCGATGGTGCATTTCTTAGTTCGACAGGGAGATCATTCCAGTCTTTAATCGAAGATGGTAAGAATGAATTTGAATAAAGTTGAGTTTGACAGAAAATATTTCTAGTGTTACTTGCATTTCGTAAGTTGTATACTGAAGTTTGTCCTACTGTGTTTGGAACTATGGAAGATAGATATTGTGGAGATAGGTGATTGAACATTTTATATAGCAGAATTAGTTTGTGTTTATAGCGTCTTACTTTTAGGGGTTGAAAACATGTGTCTTCATACAGATTTGAGAAAGAAACAAGTTTCGTTGTACCAGTTATAATTCTGCAGGCTTCAAGTTGGATTTTTTCTAACTCGAATTCATCTTGTTGAGTAATATTATCCCAGACTACATCTGAGTATTCAAGAAGAGGCCGGATGAAAGAAAGATATATAGTTTCGAGTGATCTACGATCAGTGATGAATTTTAAAGACCTCATAATATTAAGTCGTTGCCATGCCTTTTGTGATATGTTCATTATATGGGTATGCCAAGTTCCTTCAGATGAAAAAGTTACTCCAAGATGTTTGTGAGTGGTCACCTCATTTATTTGTATTCCGTTCATACTAAGGGGAGGATGAACAGGTTTATTAACCTTACGGGAAAAAATGACAGATTCAGTTTTATTTGGATTGAAAGTGACAAGCCATCTGTTTGCCCATACAGTAATTTTCTCGAGATCTAAGTTTAGTGTTGCAGCAGCGGTAGCAGGATTGTCAACGATAATATACAAACTTGTATCATCTGCAAAGAGTCTGATATATGAATTTATGTCAAGGACAATATCGTTGATATATATGAGGAAAAGTAGCGGACCTAATATAGACCCTTGTGGTACTCCAGCTGTGATAGAAGCCATTTGTGATGAGCCGCCAGGAAGAACTACTTTTTGTTTTCTTTCAGAAAGATAATCGCGAAACCAATTTAATAACACACCATTTATTCCAGTAGACTCAAGCTTAGAAATGAGACCTTTGTGCCAAACACGATCAAAAGCTTTGGATATATCACAGAAAACAGCTCTTACTTCTTTGCCATCATCAAGGGCTTTACAAAATGTGTTATATATAGAGACAAGTTGATTAGTCGTAGAGTCGTTTGGAACAAAACCAGATTGCAATGCAGTTATTGTGTTATTTGAGACAAAGAAAGTGAAAATGTGTTTGTGTATAATTTTTTCTAAAGTTTTACTAACTGTGCTGAGGAGTGATATTGGTCTATAGTTAGAAACAATTGTTGGGTCTCCTTTCTTATATACTGCACAGACATTGGCAATCTTCCATTGTGACGGGACTTTTGAAGTTCTAATTGATTTATTAAATAGACGACATAGAGGTACAGCAAGTTCTCCTGACAGTTCCTTGAGAATTCTGTTATTAATATTATCAGGCCCTGATGCTTTGCCTACACTTAGTGTTTTGAGAGTGTCCTGAACCTCTTCATATGTAATATGTATTATATCAAGATAATTATTGTTATTATTATTATGATTAATATCAGAGTTAGGGACAGGTTTATTCTTATCATCAAGTGAGGATTGCAATTGGAAAAAATTATTTAGTAAGTTTGCCTTTTCAGTGTCAGATGTCAACAAGTTGCCATTGTCATTTAATATTTTAACATTACTATTTACTGCTGGCCTAATAAATTGTTTGAGGATTTTCCAGTAATCTGATGTGTTTAGATTTTGATTTCTTAATTTTTCCGACAGTTTTTTGATATGTTCAGATTTAGCATTTCTAAGTAAGTGAGTTGTTTCGTTTCTTAATGTTTTATATTTATTCCAGTGTTCTTCATTATTTGATTTTTTAGCTTTATCATACGCTCTTTTCCTTTTTCTTATACATTTTCTTATTTCGTTATGCATCCATGGAGGATCTGATTGTCTAATTGTTACTGTTTTGTTTGGGATGTGTTTCTTTGATAATGATATAATTGTCTGTGTTATATTGTTTGCATAGGTATCAATATCATTATTTTCTAGAGAATCCCAGTTATATGCAGCTGCATCACGCCTCATATTGTCAAAATTACATTGGTCATATTTCCAGACAAGACGTTTAAATGATTTAGCATGTGGTTTGTTGCAGTGAAGTAAGCAATAAACTGGACAGTGATATCTTTGTTGTTGATCAAGAAAAGGGTCACCAACACCTGATGTATTGACACTACACTCAGAAGAAACAAGGTAAACGTCGATTAGAGAAGAGGATGATTCGGTAAAATGTGTTGGTTCGTTTATAATTTGTGACATATTGTACTGAATGGCTATATCTAACAATTTTTTAGATGTTGCTGGTTTTAATAAATCTAGATTAAGATCTCCTGTAACAACTATGTTTTTAATGTCAGTATCAAAGGCAAGGTCAATTGAACGTTCAATATTTGATAACACGTGTGAAGGTGAATTTGGAGGTCGATAAAAAGTACCAATGAGGAATTTTGTATGATGAATTCTTAGTTCTACCCAAACACATTCAACACCACTTATCTCAAGGTCTTGCCTTCTTATGGCTGGAATATTACTTTTGACATACACCAGAATTCCACCGTGATTATCAACAATCCTGTCTTTTCTGAAAGGTGAGGAAAAATTTTCAAAAGAGATCGAATCAGATTCTATATTGTTGCTAAGCCACGTTTCTGTAAAGGAGATGACGTCGAAGTGCTGTAGTTCCCCTTGTAAAATGTCTCTTTTGTGGAAAAAACTCTGTACGTTATAATGAACCAAAGATAATGAATTTTTGAAGCTATCTAAGATATCATTTACACTTGATGTAGAAGATGAAGAATAAGAAAACTCAGAGCTATTTGAGTCGGGTCCGGGATTTGTATGGATATCACCTGATCTTTGCAGAAGAATATATGCCCAAAATTTAAAAGACAGGAATACAATAACACCAAAAGAAATATTATGGAACCAGAAAGATCCTATCCTCACCCTGTGTGTTATTTGACTATCAATGATAATTATGTCACTCCAGGACTATAGATTTTGTAGGGTGAGGTACTCCGTAGATAAAAGTGACAAAGATAGAGAAAGGAAAGAGGATAAGGGACATAGAATAATGAAAGTAATATATATACAATACCAATAATAGGAAAACATAAACACATTGTCCTATTATACAAGATGTTCACGACAATATTAATTTTATATGGATCAAAAATTATTATAACTATATTGGTACATAAATTATAATTAATTTTGATATGATATTTTAAATTTGTATTTACCAATTTGTGACACTTGAGGACACGCAGGCTATATAATTGGAATTTACTATTATGACAGTTATGGATGCACAGTCTATATATACATTGTTTTGGCCGAAGATTAGTCACCTGTAAAATTTCAAATTTTTTTTGTATTTGATTATTATTGTTTTAACTTATCAAGTACACACAATATGCGAACTTCAAC